TCATACGGGCGCCTTTTAAAGTTAGAAAATAAACATATTATATATTTATTTTATCACACAAAGGTTAAAGTTCCAAAGCTTCTATAACAAACTTATATATTTAAAAAATAATGTGCATTCAATATTACTTTAAGAGTTATCACGGCGCAGTTTATAAAAGCTCGACAGCATTAATTATGAATGGAAGCGACATATAAAGTTATCAGGTTAATTGTGTAAAACTTTGTGAGTTTCTAATTATATTTGTGACATTTTCAACGATAGCTTCTAAAAGGACGATTCAGAGAAAATTTTAATTAATTCTAACACATAAAAAACGTCTATTACTGAAACTTTTAATTAATTACACTTGAGATATACAAATAATAAGTAGTTGGATGGCTTTGGCGAGGTTGCTTTAATAATATATGTACTGACTCGGTTGTACCCTTTTAAATTAAGGAATAAATTAATAAAATGCATTAAAATATGCATATTTACATATATTTATTAAATAAATGCAACATTAATCACTTTTTAACAGCATTGTTCCGGAATAATTACTATACCTTCTGCTCAAAAAGTACTCGGATTTTGTAAATAAAACACACAAATTTAAATTTTATTCCTAATTTATTTTATCTCCTTCAAAATATGCTCTTTCTGAAGCGATACACATATGCCAAAGCTTAAACCAATCTTCTATACACTTTTCGTAGGCCTGTGAAGGTATGGCTTTTAGTTCCTTCAGCGAATTCTCTTTTACCGATTCAATCAACTCAAAACGCTTACCACGAAGGAGCAATTTGAGTTTCGGGAACAGGAAAAAGTCGGACGGATCCAGATCTGGCAAATATGGTGCCTGAGCGATGACAGTAGTGCCGTTTTTGGTCAAAATCGCGTACAACACAAATTTTCCATAGTAAAAATCGCTAAATGCACTTAAGGTAGTCTCACATTAACAGCTGCTGTAAATAAACTAATTGACAGATGGCGCTCAAATTTGTTCCATATAACAAGAAAGGGTGTACCAACATAACAAAAAATGTTTGAAAAACGTCTATTACTTAAGGAGTAGTTAACAAACAACAAAATCCGGATACTTTTTGAGCAGAACGTTAGAAAAAGTTAGAATGTATGTTATAAGCCAGAATTAATGCGATGAGTTTTACTATGAATAACAGAATAGATAATGGATTTTATCCAAATTCTTTTTATACCAAAGAAAATAAATACATTTATAAAAAATAAATATAAATGCTAAGACTTTTTAATCACCTCGACTATTAATATAATTTATTGTGTTAAATCTCTAATTGTTTATTATAATTGTTATCATTATTTTAGAAGTTGCAATTTATTTTACTATATACTATTAAATAATTAACTTAAAGTTTTTATTTAGTCACTTCATTTACTTTATTTCTAATTGTATATGTTTGTTTATTATAATTGATCGAATAACTTCATAAACTTCAATTTATTATACTAAATATCATTAAATAATTATCTTAAAGTTTTCATTTAGTCACTTATTTCTAAAACTGTTTGGTATCATTAAGTTTAATTAATTTTGCTGATTTATTCAATAAACTAAACACAAATTGATATTGACAATTAAATAAAAATTTTTTACCTTCATTAAATTACTTCTCGATGAAAACAGTGCAAGTGCTTTTCACTTATTTAGCTTACAGAATTAATACTAAATAGATAAACAAAACATAGATGAACACTACACGTGTGTGTATAATGAATAGTTGAATTAATTTCGGTGAGAAATTGCCTTAATTTCCGTCATTGCAGTTCAAGTGTCTATATATCAAGCAGTGCACATTTAAACTTATTGCGATTTGAGTGGTAAATAAAAGTTTATTGCACTTTTGATTCTATGAATACACAATTTAATGAATAGTAGAACTTTTGTGTACTTGGGGAATTAATTGAGGCTTAAGTATTTTTTGAACATAGATTAGAGTATGGCATGAGAGTGGGCAAAATTTTGTTACCAGGTTAAGATAAATGTTAATAGAGTTCATATCGTTTAAAGTTCAATTAATTTTTTTTTTATACTAGAATTTAACTTCATCGTTTTAGTGCAGTAAACGTAAATATATTTTTACTATTTTTTTGATTTTTGCTTACTTGACCAACAAACTTAAGATATGTTCTGAAGCATAAAACATTTAAAATTTTTAAATAATTGCAATCCTTTATATAAAAGCTAAGAGGAATAAAGTGCTTTTCACATTTTAATGAACCAGTTTTTTTTTTCTTCTTATAATTGAGAAACAAAAATTTCTTACCTATCCGTTGCATAAATATGTTCTCCTGAAATCTTTTGTATTAAACTATATTTGTTGAGACTTTAAAGTTAACATAATTTTCTTTAAAATTCCTTTGGAGTGCAAAATGCTGTTAAAAATTAGAAATTTTACTGCATGACTTATTTTAAGCAAGTTTTGAGCCCTATTTCAAGTTTTAGTGGAAAATTTCTAAAATCCAACAATCAGAAGGTTTGTTAACTGAGTGGTATACTGTTGTAAATGATGCGGTGGAGTCTGGAATAGAATTTAAATCTAGCAACATATTTCATACATATCTGTACCAAATATTTTTAAAATATTGGTCAGCTCACAAGCCCCGTAATTATATATTTGCTCATATCTGTTTATTTCATTCACTTTATATTTCTTATATGGTCAGTTTTAGACCTACACATTGACTGGATTGGTAAAAGGTGGAAGAACACTATATGCCTTTTCTGAAAGTAAACATTTTAAATGAAAGACTGATCACCAAACACATGTATATGTTATATGCTCTCGCTTTTAATACGAGAGATAGTGAATTTTTAGAGAGGTTTAAAAAATTTTTTAGTCTATTAACTTGAAGAGTTTCTTAACAAGGAAAGAGTAAAAATGTCAACACAAGGAAAAATAACAGATTCTTTTTGAGTTAAATAAAATAATTAATTATTATAATTAAAATTATATATAATAATAAATGATTAAAATTAAATAATATATATTAATAAATTAAATAGTAATTAATAAAAATAATTTCTCTTAATACAAACCAATAGATGATTAATGTTTTTAATATTATATATATCTTTATGTTTAAATATGAATTAAATATATTTTTAAAATAAATACGTACATAATCAGGGAACTATTTTCTAGTAAAATGCAAACAAAAACACCAAATAAAAAAATTTTGTTACCACGTCTCCATAATGAGGTTTTTTGCAAGCACCGACGACTTCGTTATAGAGTGGTTTGACGATATGTCCACATTTTATTAATTAATGTCTCTTTTTTAAATTAACAGATTCAGATATTCAAAATACATTTGTCTACTTTCTACTTCCATATTTAAATAAATAACATACATAATAACTACAATTGGTTGCATTTTATAGATATTAAACTGACTTTTTAATATTTAAGCATTCGCTTATTTGAAATTCATTCGCTTTCTTGCGAATAATATTTATAATATACCACATTCACTAAGTTCATGCATAATAACATATAACAAGTGATTCTAGCTTGCATGATAGAAAACAGTATTTCAAGAATAAAAAAATAATTATTAAATTAGTAATTGTAAATTGTTAAGTAAATTATAAGTAAATTGTTTCTTTATTATTCGCTATTTAATAAATATATCGAAACAATCCATATTTTATGATTGCATTCACAAATGTCTAAATTATTTTAATTGCATTTCTCTGCTTTAAATTATGACTATATCAATGGAGGAACTCTTTCTGTAGTGAACTATCGATAATGCTGATATACGTTATTCTTTCTGAGACTATTTTCACTTAGTAAGCAAGATGACAGCTTATAATAGAGAATACTTATTTATTATTTAGTTACAATATACAATAAATAAGAGTGTGTATATGCTTATTAGTTACCGGGTTTCAATAGCTGGCAGATGATCCAATGTTCCACTAAGAACGCAATGGAATGAAGAAGAAGCAGAAGAAGAATAGCTGGCAGTGCCTCACGACAGTCTACAAAAATAGCAACAAATTTTCATGATTATTGATGGACAAATTTGTAATTATTTTTAAGCAAAATTTAATAGTATACTGATTTTCTTTGAAGTATTCCGGTAATAACTAGGCAGCATTTTGCATGGTCAGCTCAGTATTACTTAGTAATTACTTAGTCAAATAATTATATTCAATTTATCCACTAAAAGTCATCTATAATAAGTAAATGCACTATTATTATTATTTAGCATAGTATGTTTTTTTTTATTTTACATACTTATTTAAGATTCTACCATAAGTTGCGATGGTAGCCGTTCAATCGTAGCCGTTCAATCACTTACAATATAACTTAAAAAAATTCTCCTTTATATATAAGTTATTTAAACTCATACTTGTTTTTTTTTTTATTCTCAATTGTAGTGAAAGGCTTTTAATATAAAATGTATCTGCCTAAAAAGGATATAACTAGCTTTGTCATGACCATATCAGCGCACTTAAGTGTGCCATGAAATTAACGTAAGCATATGGGCTTTATGAGTAAGTGCGCTGTATGTGCATTCTTTGGCAAACGTTATGCTTCTATGGATTTTTAATGTCGTACCATAATCTTTTCATCAGCATCAAAGTCATTGAAAAAGCCAGCCTCACTGGAAAGTATCTGCACATCAAGTACCTTCATAACATACATGAAAGTGTACATTTGTGACAGTATTTTTTATTTTCATATTTATATCAATAATAAAGTTAAGTAACGAGAGAAAATCTCATTTAATATTAACAACAAACTTGGTTTGTGCATTTGACAGTTCATAATGCAAAACTCGAGGGCATCTTTTTTGTGTGTCAAGCCATATTTATTTTGTAATTCATTATGGATGGCGCACATACTCATATTATACTGGCTATAAAACAAACTACACTCTTTTTTTATTTTTGTGAATAAATAATGTTTATATTTATGTTTACATTATGTCTTTAATTAAATTGTAATTTTGAAATTTTTTTATTTTAGCTGCCAATACTATGTGAAAAGTCATCCATGGGTACCAGCTTATCAAGGTGTCATCACATTTTTTGTATTGGCTAATTTTACGTTAGCCACGTTTATGGATCCAGGTGTTATACCAAAAGGTATTATTTCCGCTAAAAAATTTTTTATTAATAATAACTTAAATATTACCAGCATCACCCGATGAAGATCGTGAAGAGGAATTCCGTGCGCCACTGTATAAAAATGCTGAAATAAATGGCATCACTGTTAAAATGAAATGGTGTGTTACATGTAAATTTTACCGACCGCCAAGGTGTTCACATTGTTCAGTATGCAATCACTGCATAGAAGTAAGTTTTTAGTTATTATTTTTAAGCAAATAATTCTATATAATTTTTTGTTTTTTTAACAGACTTTTGATCATCACTGTCCGTGGGTGAACAATTGTATTGGGCGTCGCAATTATCGCTTCTTTTTCTTCTTTCTAGTCTCTTTATCAATACATATGCTAAGCATATTTTCTCTATGCTTATTCTATGTATTAAAGATAATGCCTAACATTAAGCATCCATCACCTATTGTAGCGTACGTATATATAATATATATACTATATATAATTATCTTTATATCGATTCCATTTTGCATTAAATATTTTTTTTTTGTTTTTATTTTAATAGTATAATATTAATGGGCATCGTTACCATACTTGCTATACCAATTTTCGGACTGACTGGTTTTCACATGGTTCTTGTATCCAGAGGGCGTACAACAAATGAACAAGTAACCGGCAAATTTAAAGGTGGTTATAATCCTTTCTCACGCGGTTGTTGGCACAATTGTTGTTACACACAATTTGGACCACAATATCCTAGGTAAGGAAACATTTTACAAAAAACAGTTTACTTTAAATTTACTTTATTAATGTATAAAAATATTTTCTTTTACAATATGCAGTTTACTTAAACCAGAAAGATATGCCTCACGTCGTTCACATAAAGAAAATCAAGCTATTAGCACTATAACAACCGATCGAGATGCCGGTCAGACAGGCGGTGGGGCGGGGGGGATGCGAAGCAATAATATCGCTGGCAATGCGCAACATTCCCCCCGTGGAATTCAACATAGTTACTACGATAGGGATAAAAGACACACTCAGGTAAAGACTTATACGGACCAGGGAAATGGTTATAATCAACGCTCGGGTGGCACAACGCTTTATAGTAAGGTGGGTAAATTGATTATTGTTGCCAATTGTTGTTGTTGTTTTTGTTGATGTTCTCTAGTATTTCTTCTATGCTATTATTTATTTATTTAATTATTCTTTAGTGCAATATACTATTTAGATATTTTTTTTATTTTACTTTTAATCTTAAATAGCAATAAGTCGTTTTTGAGAGTAGCACAAACTACTATGCATTGTTTGAAGTTTTTTTATAAGATTTATTCTTTTCAGCATGTTTTAAAAAATTTTTTTATTAAATTTTATATATTTTGCTTTTATGTTTTTACTTAAATTTACTGGTAATAATTCTATTATACACAAAACTTTAATATAAATTCCTTGCTTTTGTTTCTGCACTAAGTAATTTTAGATATAAAAGTTATTTAAATTTTATATTACTATATTCTTTTAAATAAACCTTTTTAAATGCAAATTGAAATTATAGTGCTGTAATGAACCTTTAGTTTTAGTAATCGCAAGATTTTATTCAATATCTAAATTTGAATTTTTAAAACCACTTTCCTTTCCATTTATTATGTCAACGCTTAATGTTTCCTAAATATTGTGTTCCTGCACTTGTTTAGATCTATTTATCAATATTATTTTTTTATTAATATGTTGTATTAGATACATTAAAAAAACCTTTTAATAACGATTTAAAAAAACTGTTAAAGCTATTATACAAACTTGGTAAAAACATTTTATAGTGTTATTTGTATGCCAGTTTTCCTATCATAGTTGCTTCTGAAACAATTTTATAGTAATTTTGTGTCAATAAAGATACATTTTTATTTCTCAAAGTATTCCTTCTTATAATCCGGTGTTTTCAAATATTAAAACATTTCTTTCTAACTAGTAACTAGAAATCTCCAAAATAAAGTTTTTCTTAGTTAGAAATTACAGGCGTTAGTCGACCTTGGCCGCGTCGAGATGCCTCCGCCAGCCAGCTCGATTAGTTGCTTGCTGTTGCCAGTTGGTAGTACCGAGCACCCCCAAATCGTTTTCCACCTGGTCCTTACACCGAAATGCGGACGTTATCTACCGCGTTTTCCACCTGCGAGTACCGAAGCACTTTATTCTATTAGTACGACATGACCAAGCTAGTAAATCCGCTGAAATTTTATGCGCTTAACTATGTCAATGTCGCGTTAATAGATTGATTTTATATTTTACATATTATATTGGCGATAATCTGATGTGATTAAATTGATTTGTACCGGAAAGAACCTTTAAAATAATTTTTCATTTCTTTATATTTCGATTTTTAGTTATTTTAAAATATAGTATATTCAATATATTATAGATGAATACAAACACAGCGTTTTTCATAACAAAAAAACTATAAATACGGGAGTTAAATCCTTTGTTGAAGAAACGAAAAGTATTGTTAGGAGGAAGTGGGTGTATTTGCAATAGTTACTGGCATACAAAGAATCGCATATCTGAAAAATACCTTAAGTCAAATGGCCCTGATATCTTAAGACCGCTTTATTCCAATATTTTTAGTTGCATATATATAACATATATTTTGGTAGTTCTAATCAAAAATGAATGAAATTTAGAAATTAATTTGTTTTCTTAGTCCTTATATTGTATTTAATTTGCTATAAGTACAGAATAAAATAAAGTAAGCTTTGAAAGATTTTTAATTATTAAAATTCTTCTTTATTAAATGCTTTTTTAATAAATGGTTTTTTCTTTTTGTATGAAAGCAAAACATTTGTTTCTCTTCTTAAATTAATCATATAAAATATTTGATAAAATTTAGATAGATTTATTAACTCAAAATTTTATTTTGTGTTTTTTATTGCTCACAATTATGTCACTATAGATGTGCGCATATGTAAGTTTTTGCAAAATTCCACTTACTACCTACCTATTCATTCAAAAATTTATTTTCATTTCTTATTTGTATTATAATTTTAAAATTTTAATTTTAAATAATAAATTAATATTATTACAACGTATGCTTAAAAAGTCCCAGTTAAATAAAATTATTATTATACTACTATTATAGACGAGTTGTACGTTATTTCCTGATTAGCATATACTTTCCACAAATTATATTAGTATAGATAACAAATATAAGAACAAGTAAAATCGCTTATCTTTGTCATTTTGATATATTTTTAATAGTTAGTTAATATTTTCTAACTAACAAATATACAGGATAATGCTGTTTCCAACACATTACTTACAATAAATTTTCGAAAATTTGACTTTTGTCGTCAACATGCTCTTCTCCAGGAGTGTTATATTCATTCCAATTTTAATTTTTTTTTTTTTTTTTTGTTGTGAAAGAATTTGATTGTCCCTTCAAAATAGACCGCAGTTTTGCCAAATGCTTTTTAATTCAAGCCAAATTTCTTTCCATGATGTTTCACTTTGATATGTGCAAGAAGTCAGTTGTCTCTGGGGGTTATTTCTAAAAAATTCGGTGAATGAAAAAACTATTTTAAGTGTAAAATATTCAATCTAACAATCGTTTTAATCAACTTGTGAATAATGCAAACTATGCATGGTCAAAATTTCCCTTAAAAATATAAACACACTATATTCTGATATATTTAAGATGTTAGCTAACTGACTCAACTTCAATTTATAGTCCTTCAAAAGTTCTAAACAATTCTAATGCAGTTAATTGTCAAATCAATATTGTCTTGTTCTGGTAGTTTCTACTCCGGTAGTTGTTCTGGTAGAGCAACAACACATAACAACCAGGTGATCTATAGTTTATACAAATACTTGCTTCAGACATTACCAATCTCTTGTCTCGAAACGCTTAAAAGCTTTTAATGCTCAATTTCTTAAGTCCCTATGTAAAAATATAGTTGATACTCTAGTATTCCTTAGTTTTCATGGCATTTTATAGTTTTTTGTCAGTGGTTTATTTATTATTTTATTTTAATAAAAAGGATTTATTGGTAATTATATTTGGTATTATCAGGTGTTATTCTTTTTTTTTTAAAGCTTTATTTCTAAAGTATAAGCAAACATTGTATATATTTTAAAAATAATTTTCTTTACGCACATTAATATTCTCATTGCAATAAGATGCATGTATTTTGAGTTGGTAGTAGTACAATTTAATTTGTGATATTTATAACATATATCAAGTATTCCATATATGTATATTTGAATTTGGTCAAAAATAAAAATACTCTACACCCTAATGAAAGCACCGATCAAAAGGTAAAATATTATTTAATTATTTTTTAAGTACAATTTTCAATAATATTTACCATTTCTTTTATTATATCTTTCTAAAATAAATTCTTAACAATTAAAGGACAGTACTTTTTAATAAAGTTTTCTATAAGCAAAATATATATTTTTAAAATAAAAATTCAATATTAACATTTTCATTTAAAATGCTTAGAATTTTATTTTATTTTACAGTTTAACCAGCAAGTGATTGCAAATCCATTAACTTTTTTTAATTTAATTTAATAATAAATTTATGAAACAATATCCATCTTAACCAGGATAGCCATTTTGTACAGAGCAATTAATAAATTTTTTCATTTTTTAGTTTTTTTTTTTCAAAATTGAAACAATTTTACAAATTAATATTAATGAAAACTACACTCAAAACCACTTTTAAATATTTTTGGCACCATACAGTGCGAATATTTTTTTACACTCACTTTTACAAAAATCTTTTAATAATACTTAATTTTGCTGATAACTAATATTAATTAATATGCATCATTTTAATTCATATTTTGTCATTTAAAAACATATTTACAACATATATAGTATGTAAAATATGATTTGTCGAATTAACTAACTAGGTTAATTGTTTCTATTCTGCTCGTATACTAGCTTTCACCAGGACGTGAATGCTCAGATACTGATATGGAGCCACAAGCATCACAAAGTCAGGATTGTGAACCGACACCACCATTACAAAGGCATAATTCCAGTAATTTCTATCTGCCGCCTATAGAAAATGTAAATGGTGGTATAGCAACTGGAGGAGGTGGTGGTAGTGGTGGTGATTCTCCAAGACATATGCGTATGTATCATCCAAGACATAGTCCACATGCGCGGCAAAGGTATTATTTATTACCATATATAAATTTAATATAGTTTCCAATAAACTTTTATATTATTATATAGAGGCTTGGAACCCCAACGTGGTTATAATGCGGATGCTCTGTCACCAGATCATCCAGCCCATGCAAACAACCAAGGAATTGCCGCACAAAATCGCAGTGGGACAACAGCTACACCTACGATGCAACAACGAATTAAACCATTAGGTGTGGCAACACCACTTGTGATGGCAAGCCCAGTACGAAGGTAAGCGAATAAACTTATAATAGTTTTAAGCATAAAATATAATAATCAAATTTGAATATGTAAAATGCAATGCAATATTTTGTCAGATTTATTTAAGTTTTCAATTCTAATTATTTAGTATATTATGCCATTTTTATTACTTTTATTTATAAATAAAAATTTCTTTCAAATATTGAAAAATTCCCAATAAAGATGGACATAGCTGGAATTAGCAACCTTTAAAATGTGCCATAATCGGTAAATAGTTTATTTAGTTGATTGATTAATTGATTAATTGATTCAGTGTTGTATGGAGACACATACCAAATTATTTTTTATGGCACAGTTGCTTTGAAATGTTGTTTTACGAAGATATTTATTCTAAAATATTTAAAAAAAATAAAAAAAACTTAATTAATGTTTTTGTGATGAGTAGTCCTTAGTAACTAAATGTTGCTGCAGTTATTATAAGCTGGCTTTTTCGAATCATGGGCATTATTTTTGTATATATTAGTATTTGGTATTTATAATTATTTTGCGGTTAAACATTTTGTTTTAATATGATTCAGACAACATATTGAGATTAGTAGAATTTATTGAAATCATTGTTAGTTTTACTAAATAAAACTTTATATGGTGACTTCTTTAAAACATCAAACTATAGCGTCTTATAATTTTTAATATTTTTTTATTATTTATTATTTTATTTATATAGATATTATTCAGTAGTTGTAGTAATTATAAAAAAACTCAAATAAAGAAAAAAGTTCTTCATAGTATATTTATTAAAACCAAACAAACTATTTCTGTAAATGATAGTATGTACCCAAAACCATAACTTGGTGGCTGCAGATATCGCTGGCAAGCATCCACATTGCTTAAAAATAATTATATTTAATATATATATAGTAATTTATTAACCCTGAGGATGACTATAGATTGTAATCAAAATATTTGGTCAATAAATATTATTTTTTATTTAAAATAAAAATTCTAAATCTGTTATATTTATTAAAGTTATTTTTTGGATTTTGTTTAAAACTTAGTTGACAATACAAATAATTTACCAAATAACCCATATACAAAGTTTATGATAAAGTAAAAAATAATATTGTTTATATTCCTTTAGAACAGCTAACAATATAATAATAATATAATATAATATAATATAATATAATATAATATATAATATAATATATAATATAATATAATATAATATAATATAATATAATATAATATATAATATAATATAATATAATATTATTAATATAATATATATAATATAAAATATATATAATATAATATATATAATATAATATAATTAATATATATAATATAATATAATATAATATATAATATAATATAATATAATATAATATATATATATATAATATAATAAATATAATATAATTATATAATATAATATATATAATATAATATAAATAATATAATATAATATAATACTAAAATATAATATAATATATATAATATAATATATATAATAAACTAATATAATATAATATAATATAATATAATATAATATAATATAATATAATATAATAATATATAATATAATATAATATAATAATATATTATATTATATTGGAGGAAAAAAATATTTTTTCGATTAGGGTTAAAGGTTTTTCCTTTGATAAGCTATCAATAGCTGATATTGTTTATTGAGAAGTATATATAATATACATAACCTAAAAATTTTTTTTACATAAAGGTATTTGAAACGTTATATATACTTTTTTAATGAGAATAAAATGTTTGCTTTCGGTAAAGTAAAAGTAACTAAGATTGTGTATTAAATAATGTATATTATATACATAACAATCATTCTTGCTAGTTGTGTGCAAACTTTAAACTATGTAATCATATTATATTATATAAAATCTTGAGACAATTTTGCTTAAATCTCCTTAAAAAATAATGCTTTATATTCAATTAAATTAATTTATATAGTATATTGTATTATTATTGCTAATTTATTTTTATTTTATTTATTATAATATATATTTATGTTTTTCTAATGCCTTTTTTTAATATTATCTATTATCTTTTGTTTCTCTATTTATTTAATAGTCAATACTCAAAATCAGAATTCAATTATAATTTATAAGATAAGCTATAAAACCAAATGAGCCTTTAACAAATACTTCTCTTTTCAAAACTGTGAGCGTTCGTCGTGCATATGAGTATAGTCTATATAAACATCTCAGCCTCCATTTTCGTTTTCGTATCCGTATCCGTCCACTTCTATTTCTACTCTGTACCTATTTGGAGGTGAGTTTTTGGTTTATTTATTTCTTTCCGTTTCAGTAAATTTTATTTTTTCACATTTTACGAGCTCAAAATACTCATTTTTAATGCATCGTTCTCTTACAATTAATCGTACTCATACCTCAATTTCGTCTGAAGTCACATCCAAATGCAGATATATATATTTTAAATAGATATATATGATTTTAACTAATGTTTTATATATACATGAACTCAATGTGCAATCACTATTTTTGGTGTTTCAAATTTTATTTCTCTTAAAAACATACAAACATAAAACATAAATGTTTCATTAGTTAAGTATGAAATAAATTTAAAAACCATAATATTTTAACTATGCTTTAAATTTATAATTATTTATAATTTGGTTAATATTAATGTTTTAACAGTTAAGGTGGTATCATTTAAGTATATAATTCCATGCGAAGTGAATTGCATTTAACATATGTTGATAATTTAATGTATTTAAACAATTGAACTAAGTGACGATTAATTATATATAATATAATTAATAATATTGAATATATTAATAATTTTCTCTGGAAATACCATCAAAGGCTAAGTTATGTTATGAATATTTTTACATATTCTCAACAATGTGAAGAAAGTGAAGGTCTTACAGACTTACTTGAGGTCTTGAGATCCATCTATGTTACATCTACTCCAAACAGCTTGCAATTCAGCAGCTGCCAAAAATTTATTTGAAGACTTAACACAAGTGTAACTTGAAGATAGCTTTTTGATATTGAACTAATCACGCAAAATTAAAACTACTAAAGTATCAAGACTTTTTACATTTTTTTTTATTATAATGAGAACTAATTAGAAACTTAAAATAAAAACCCCAAGTTGTTACTATACGCAAAATCGGCGGAAACATATGTTGTTGCTAATATAATACAACCCAACGGTTCCAAGAACGGTCGGGTCTACGCCTCGGGAGCACTCGTCGCCAGCGATGACCAAGCACCGTTCGACACCTCCCAAAACGACTTCACAAGCTGATCCCAGCAGGTTACAACAACAACAACCCGACGGTCATTCATGTTGTCGTTATTACAACTGACATATTCATGTTATCTTTATTACAACTAACTTTATTACAGACTGACGAATATTCATGCTATAGTTAGTATAATTCAAATAGAAAATCTGCATTTTTAGTTTCTGTTGACACAGGTGGGCCTTAGTCGTCTGAGATGACAAGTTGACAAGTTGCAGAACTAACCACTTCTAAAGTCGTTGAATTTTTATAAAAAGATTAGTCTCATAGAACCAAATGAATATTTGACAATCCATGTTTGTCAGAGACTTCATGGAACTTATATATTAAAGATTAAAATGCTTATAATTCTTAAAGAATTTCGTTTGAAATAATCTATTATACTAATATTGGATAATAATATTAGAACTTTTCACATTTTTAATTTGTGCAACTAATTTCAATCTAGTCATAGCAAGCTTTATAATTTTCAAATTTATAGAAATACTTTTTATATTTGCTTAAGAATGAAAATAAAATATTTTTTGTCATAAAAAAGTTTCGGAATATTAAAAGATATTGAAATTTGTTTTGGCTGTAAGAAATTATTTTAAAAAATTACACAACACATTAATTTGAAGAAGTCTACATAATAGTTAAGCATGAAACGTGACGGCTTTTCTCGAATGGGTGCATTTGCTGCTATTGAGCAAGAACTTGAGAAAGTAAATCAAGAGTGCTCAGGGACACCGCAGAAAAATGATGCCAATTTACCTGGCAGTGCGTTCTCTTCCCAATGGAATAAAACTTACTCACCGCCAGAGAATGGGTATAATCCTGCTTTTTGTCGTGGAGGAAGCTTTAATGGTTTTACGCCAAATCCAAAATGGAAGAATTTTAAATTGAGGAAAGGTTTTAAACTACCTAAGGAGAATAAGGAAAGCGATGAAAATGAATCAGACCATAGTGAATATAATGTAGCTTCTGATCAGCAATATACATCACGTGTGGAACCACCATGTAACCACTTTTCTTATTCATCAGATATGGTTAGTGGTAGTGATTCATTACAATTACATGAACTTGATAATAACCGCATACATAACTCTTCACAACAGACAAGTGCTTCTGAAATGGGTCAACGTGATTTCTCAATGGGAGTGCATTTTAATATTGTAATGCTTCTTGGTCTTATTACAGGACTTTTTGTTTCAAAGTTTCTGCAATATCTAGAGATGTACTTTCGCTGGTTTCAAGTTCAGATTGAGCAACTGCGTCTAGCGGTTTTGGGCCGACAAACTATTTGGCAACTTTGCAATTTTGATGATGAGTCAAATTATTCTGCCCGTACCAAGATTGTGATGTTGCCAATCGCTCTTCTTTTTGGTTTAGTTTATGGATTTTTTTTCATAATGCATTGGGTTATACGTTTCATGCGTACTCAAGCTCCGAGTGGATTAGTTAAATTCATAAATAAACTACAACGAGATGCTTAATAGTACGACTTCTTTAATTGATGTTTTCAGAATTGGTATATCATGATTTGTTCCTGATATTTTCCCTTTTGAAATAATGTGTAAATATGTATAACAGTTAAATGATATATTAAATTAAATTAAATTAATTTTTTTTGCAACATAAGTAAAGTGTTTTTACCTTTTAATATTTATATTGTAGTGAAAACATATTTTTAAAACTGTTAATTGGAATTATAAATTATGTAACTAATAATAATAATGATCAGATTTGTCTCAAAGCATACTTTTAAATATCTTTGATATTCTAATACACATAATAATAGCAAGATTATGAAAATTTCAAGAATTAAAAAAATTGTGGTTCTTACCTGTAAGAACCTATAAAGCAATTACATATGAACCTAGTTGACCAACTTATACCCAACGAGGCAATTGTGATAAAATTGTTAATCCGTAACGATTGCACTTATGGAATTCTTTTTGAGATTCTTACAAAGGGTGTTTTTAGTAGGATGTTTTTAATCTTAGCCCTAAATATCTCTATGACAGATCTAGATAGAGAACGTCTACAGACGTTACACATGTATCTTTATGTTCCCCAAGATCTGTTGATGGTTATATTAATATCACTTCTTCTGTCTGTGCTTAGGGGGAGGTTAGTACTATATCTGACAAATTCGTCAGCCCGTCATTTAATAATATTTTGGTGCTCCAGAATTTATACTAGACGTACTCTAAAAACGGTGCTGATTTCTTTTACAATTGCCAGGCAACTCTGCCCCCAAGTTTTTTGATTAGTTAACTACCTCTCCATCCGATTATATATCTATGGTGGTTTAATATGGAGAAACTGCAATGAACAGGTAGGCGAACAACAGTTCAAACCTAAATCTTCGAGAAAACTCTGTTAAGCTTGGAGCCATTTATATAAATGCATAAATCTCTTTTCCGAGGCGTGAAGATATTTTATTCCACGACAAGATTTATTTCTTGAAATTAAATACACAACTTATACGAAAGAAATAGCAGGAGATTGTTTAGCAAAGCTAGGTGAAAGAAGAAAAGTGGTGGGTGATAATGATCAAATCTAATATGTTGGAGGAACCTTGCCACCACGAAAGGGCGAAACCACAAATAGACTACGTAAAGGAGAACAAATCTGCAGTTAGGCACAGAAATAACTGTATACACGTGTCAATATCAGGACAGCAATTGAGCAAAGACATTTCTTGCTATACATGGAATACTTTTTTATTCCTATAGATATCAGGTTGAGGCCTGTTGAGAACCGTAGATTGTAGACGTAGGTTCGATGACTGAACGGCCTTAGTATGGATAGTTGAAAGCATTATATTTAATAGCATATATTTAATATTGTATATGTAGGGAAGTTATGTTATATACTTATGAAAAATTCATCATATATATTAAATGTTATATATTCCTAATATCTTTGTATATATATTAAATTGTATTTTTTTTTAAATAGAGACAAAGGCTTTAAATGAAATCAATTTATTTTATTATATATCATTTAGCAGGTTAGTTTCATTTTTGTGAATCTTTTATTGTCAGATAATATTACAAGAGTTATATATGTATATATAATTCATTTAAATTACTAGGGTTATTAGAATTTATATTAAGTGTTGTGGTTTTCTTTATATAAAATAAATGTTGAAAGGTCAAGTTTCACATTTTACTGAGTGTTGAGTGTAAAAATTCTAAAACATTTTTATATTAGTGGAAATACGAAGTACTAACTTAATTGCACAGTCATTTTGTACGCACATATTAACATTTTATCGTTTCATTATATTAATGCCTCGTTACTATTAAATTCATTCTAAGTTTGGGTTTTTTCTATTGTGAACGGCTTCATTTGTGTTTCATTCTTTAAAAAATTTTATTTAAATATTCATATAGATATAAATATATTCCTCTAATTTTATGTGAATTCTATAAAGATTTAATATTCTCTTTACTGTATAATTTTTTGCATTTAGATCAAATCCAGGAACTCCTACTCAACCACGACGGCCAGATTTCATTGGTCTGAGTCAACCACAACAGCAACAGCAACAAACTCAATCATATTATGAATACACCACTGGTCTGCCACCACAGCATCCGCAACCCCCGACTATACAACAGCAGCAACAACAATTATTACTTCAACAACAGCGTGTTATGCTACAGCATCAACAACAGCAGCAGCAACAACAACAAGGTAAGATTTTTAAAATTATATATATTTTAAAAGTATTCAAAACAAGTTAAAAAGAAAAATTTCTGCAGAGATACTTTATGAAGCTATAGAACCTTATGTTATAAAAGCAGTTCCAGAAATACGAAGTTGAATGAAAATTTATTGTTTTACTTTCAATTTTTTCCAAATTGAATACTAACCTATATATGTAAACATAAAATTAGATGTCCTATGGTAAACCACAAGAAATTATACCAATTACATACTCAAGAAATTACAGACGGAAACCCACTGTATGGAACAAAGTGAACACCCTTTAACTGCACTTGAATGTAATAAAATCAAACAAATTAAGTTTAATTATTATATTTTTAGTTAACTATTTTAAAAAAATATAACAACACCTATGTTTGCAATGATCAAATTAATTCTTACTCCAATTCTCAAGCCGGTAATAAATCGAAAAAACTAGTATTTCAAACTGTGAGACATAGCGAGAGATGAAAAAGTATATCAAGCCACTACGGCCGAATGACATCCCAGACGAGTATAATCTTTATATATATATTTAATACATATTTCTCAAAAATTCCAAAAAGGTATGACTCCCTCTTCTTTTTTTTATTTGGCACTACAGTCCAGTGTCAACCTTGACCTCCTTTGAGGGTTGCGTAACGGTAAAATTTTTCAGATGCAAGCTTGCTGGCCTTACGATCAACCCCCAACCTGGAGGCCCAGATCTCCTTATTTGTTTAGTAGTTAAAGAATTTCCGCTCAACTATATGTTTTCAGGTTATACATCTGTGCTCCGTCGTCAGAGCCTCTTATGTAAAAAACAGAATACGCCACGGGTAGGTGAGGTTGATCGATGAGAAGGCTAGGCTATATATTCGCATCATTACTCCATTGGGGCATACGATTTTACCCTTTACTTCCACAGTCAAGTAAAAAGGCCACAATCTACCAAATTTAGGAAATTATCCTCAAGTGTTTAGAACTAAAGCTATGTTCTGAATTTTAAAGGTTGACAGCTCTGTGAGATCAATTAGAAAAGAGAGTCCAATGCTTTTAAATCTGATTCTAGTCAATGTTTGGTATTGAAAAATAAAATGGAGTACAGTTTCTTCCTCTTGCGCGAAGTAACGAAGTCTTATTGCATATCATCCTAATACGCGGTGATCTGTCAGTGCATATACCATAACACTTAGCTACTTACGTTAGGTTGTGGTATCTAACTGGTACAAATTTTGTTCGATTTGGGCCAGTTAAGTTTTGTAATCTAATAAGATTCAAATCCATCTATGCTTTAAACACTACCCAAATATCTAACATTTTTAATAATGTTTAAGAATTTCCTCAGAGAATACTTAATCACATGGGTTATTAGGGAAGCAAAATTTAAGATAGAGAAATCTCTGAAAGTCATACACTGTAGTCCAAGAAAGCAAGCGTAATACGAGGTTGCAAAAATTAAGAATTCCAAATACAATTTTATGAACTAATCGACAATTTTTTTTCCTATCTCAAAAGCAGTTTTTTGTAAGCTAGATAATTTTTGTATAAAATTGTAGTTAATCACATTCCACTAGTCGTTAATTATATTACACTATTTAATTTTAATATCTTATGAATTATGGCTGTATATATTATATTGTATATTGCAAAATAATATAATTAATCATATAGCTTACTTGAATAATAATTCTGTTTATTGTATATATAGGTGGTCCTGCTATACAACATATACAACAACAGCATAATCTAAACCAACCATATGGTGGTAGCCCACAGCGGCGCTTCCTTTCAGAAGGTGAACTAGTACGACAAGGCGGTAATGAATTATCATATGCCCGTTCAAATAACACCGTTGATAATATACGCGAACTAGCAGGAAGTCCACAAAGGGGAGTGTATATGTGGAAAGATACATCTCCAGGGTTTAATGGTAGTGGGCCAGGTAATATTGTGCCTACAGTTGGTAGTAGTGCAGGCACTATACCAAATAGTATACACCATGCCCAATATATAACCGTAGGCGGCGCTGGCGCACAAGGTCATCCACTTATAATGACACATTCACGTATGCATCAACCACATGATTATGCCCAGCAACAGCAACAACAACAGCAGCAACAGCAACAACAACAACAACAATATCACCGCTCTAATCCAACAAGCCCAACAACAATGCCCTCCACCTCAGCAGCACAAACGTATATGATACGATATGGTGGTAATAATGCAGTACCAGCTTCAGTTGCTTCATCCCAATCAACAGCCACAAATTATGGACATGCTCAACAAGCGTTGACCAATACAACAAGCAATCCTGGTTTTCAGCCACAATTACGTGGCGGTGTAGCAGTATTTCCACCAAATCCAAATACTAATACAGTTGCTATATCACAGTCAAATAGTCTACAACCACAACCATCACCACAAATTAAACGTAAACAAACTCCGACACGACCGATGTCATTCGTTCGTGCTCTCGAAATGACCGATTCAATGGAAATGCAAAACTTAGAACAGCAACAGCAGCAATTGCAACACCAACAAACCCGTAACAATGGCGGTATATTACCTAATTCAGCAACAATGGCAGCTAATCCAAATATACAAAACGCTCAGCACTTAGGTGCTCGCACTACCACACCAACTCCAGATCGTGCTAGTGTTTATGATATGAATTATGAGATCTCCGTATAACCCGTGGTTGTACCTGTCGTAGTTCCACCTGCCTCTGCAACAATAACTGCTGTTTATGCGCGTAAAAAATCTGTTACCAGTGCAACAACTTGCAGCACTGTTAAGAATTCTTGCGCTGAGCCTGCTGCTTACGCTTCAGTTTCGGTTTTGGCTAGCAAAGCACCAAATAAACGTAAATTTTCTACATTCTTTTAAGCATCAAATTCATACAATCATGTGCGCAGATGTTGACCCTTATCTTTAGGTTAATTCTCTGAAGTCATTGATTCATTGATACATGTATGGCCACATATTAGAAAGGTCGCATAAATATATATTGTACATATATTTTATAGTTAATTTTATATTTATAATTATTTTAAAATCTTAACTAAAATTTATTTGTACATGTCTTTTTATCTTATTTTTAAATCGTTATTTCTTTCATAACATATACAAAAAATATAAAAAGTAATATAAAATTTATACTCGTACTATCAAAATAAACTGAAAAGTTGTATGATTATAAAATAAGTAAAAATTTCATTGTATTTATGTCCATGTTTGTAAATGTAATTGTAATTGTTGTAAAATTTGCTTGCTAAAAAAAGAATTATTATGAACTATTTATTTGTTAATAGAGAATTATTTAAGATATATCTTTTAGTCCATCCCAGTGAGGATAAGACATCTTAGGTACGGGATAATAACGATGTCTTTTCTTGTTGTCAATAACCGCCCATATAATTTACAAAGTAAAAGTATAGAACTTGTTATATATTTAACAATATTTACATTAAAATTTTAATTTTATTTTATTTTGTTGTAGTTATTCACATAGTTTCATAAATTTTAATTTAAGCTATGTTGTTATTTCCAAAGTCAATCGAGATAGTAATTTGTAATCAAAATATTTATTTAATTTTTAAAAACAACTAATTTATTTATTGTATTTGTTTCCTTTTAAAGGTATAATAGTTATACTAATTTAGCAATAACAAATTTATTAACAAAAATAATTACATTATTTTGTGTCATCTATGGAAATATATTTAAATTTATATTCCTCCTCAATGAAATTTATCGAAACAATCGGTTTCAAATAGAAGTATATATCTTATAATGCAGTTTAATTTATAATTAAAAAAATTTGGCATTTAATTTTTTATATATGAAAAATTTTAAAATATATATATTAAAATACCTTTTCGTATATATTTTAAATTTAACAAAATCCTAGACCAAATTTAATAAAATTTTTAGATTAATTTTAATTCCCTTATAGTATCCAACTGACTTCCAGATTAATTTAAAATACTATATCTGTTATATCTTCATTTTACACTAAATTTATATATATTCAAATATTTTCTAGGTTTCTTATTTCATTTAAAATTTTAAGCGAAATATAAAATTACACATTATTTCTACAAGCTCGGTGTGTAATTGTTAATTTTGTTTTTTTTTTTTTTTTGTAAGATTTATATATTGCATTATATATATCGTTTAAAAAAAAGCATTGTGATGCGTAAAAAACTCAATTTTTATAGATTATATTTAAAAGAAAGAATAGCATTGGAACACTAATCATCTGCATTCATTTTAAATTAAAAAAGAAAAACATATAATAAAAAGTGTAATCAAAAATGTTGAAAAAACTAGATTTAAAAACAAGATACATATATATGTCTATATATGTATAGATATGTTACATATATAAAATGCTGCATATATAAAATAGTTATTATATGAATAGCAATATTATTATAATACTTATAAAAAGCATATGTATTTTCTGAGGAAAAAAGAACAAATGTAAATAAATTTATATAAAATAATGTTTATAAATTCAATAACAACAAATTATAATATTTTCATAAAATATTTTAATTCTTTTGTTACGTCAAATCAAAAAATATTTTTAATGTAAGTGTTTGTACATAACAATTTGTTCAAATTAATTTAATTTTAAAATTTAGTCAAAATAACACATTTCTTAATAATACAAAAAATTTATCATTTAATAGCTAAACTGTATATTATTAATTTTTGAAAAAAATAAATATAAAAAATCATATAAAAATAAACACCAACATTTTTTTTCTAAATGTTGTAAAATTTAATATGAAGCAACAAACTAAATATATATACATATACATAAATATATGCATATATACATTAATTAAATTATAAGTTTTTTTATTAATTCCTAATTTTAAGAGTTTTATTAATAACATTTAGATTTTTATACCAAATTTTATGTAATATATAATTAAAAAAAATGTTAAACAAATTTTTTTTTCGATATATTTAAAAAGTCAAACATATTGTATATATATACATTTACACATATATAACTAATTATAAATAGGTATGTTATAATCTATGTACTGATCAAACATACCAAAATCTATTATTAAATCTTAAAATAGCCATTTGCAAATTAAAATAAGTCATAAATTTAATTTATGTAATGTTGTAAAATTTAGTAAATTTGCATGTAACTGTATATTATAAATTATACTAATATATACTTCTGTGGGTATATAAAATATTTAATTTAAAAAATCAATAAAAAAAAATATTTATAAACAAATATTTGAAAACTTTATTTATTAGTAATTAGAATAATTTTGGAATTAATAAGAGGACATCGATTAAGTAATTCCTTGAATTGATTAAGTAAGTAGGATTAAGTAATGTTAAAACAACTGTAAATAATAATAATGCAACGATTCCTAAAAGGTATACAGTAACAAAATTAATATACATAGACTTTATTTTTAATTAAAATAGTCGTTTTTTATTTAAAACAACATTACCCCTTCGAGAATAACTATTCTTTATAGTACAGTAATAGTCAAAACAATAGGACTCGCTTGACAAATGCATAACAATGTAACGTTAAAAATTCGTTAATCCAAATATGCAATTATTGTTCACAAATATGATTCAATATCCGGAAACCTTTTTGACATATTTGGATTAATATTTTAATTATACGCTTATTGTCTACGTTACTTCTTCTGATTCAAATTCATCTTTTACTATACCACAACATAAAGATATATCGTTATGATATGCCCAAGCCATTTCTGGTGTGGAGAAATATATTCCTAATCCACCACACCTATCTATTGTTATAACGCCAGCTTTATGCCTCAAACGTTTCTCCATGTTTACTATTACAAATTCGCTAGCCTCTTGTGCCGTCAAATGTTGAAATTGAATCAATGCAAGAATTTTTGAGGCGACATTATAGCGCATTATGGTTTCGCCAAGACCAGTAACTGATACAGCGCCTACTTCATTGTCAGCATAATTGCCAGCTCCTAAAAGTGATGAATCTCCTATACGACCTGACATTTTTCCATTTACCCCACCAGTTGATGTAGCAGCAGCCAAATTACCACAAGTATCAATGGCTACAGCACCGACTGTGCCCGGTGCAATGGGATTTTCACAATTTTCTTTTAATTTTTTACGTTCAGCTTCTTTTTTTTTAAATTTATTTAAATTTTCCAAAGCACTTGGTGTGACTAGTGCACCTTCTGGTAACATTTCAAAACATTGTTCTATAGCAAAACACATTGCACCTTCACCTGCCAAATATTTATGCCTAGTTTTTTCCATTACTTTTCGTGCTAATGTTACAGGACTATTAATATTTTTTATTAAAGAAACGCAGCCAGCATTTAAGTCAGCTCCATTCATTATAGATGCATCCATTTCAACATTTCCGTCATAGGTAAGTGCCGAACCAAATCCAGCATTAAACAGTGGATTTTGTTCCAAGGCAACGACTGCTTGATGAACAGCATCAAAGGCGCTGCCAGTTTTGATTAATTCTTCGTAGCCCTTTCTAGCTGCTAACTTAACACCATTTTTATGTTTAACATACGAATCTTCTGGTACTTTACCGGCTCCACCATGCACTAACACCACCGGAACACGTTTCTAAATATGTAAATTATTATATATAATTAAAAGAAAGTATTCTATACAAATACGAAGAGACTTACTACTGATTTACAATAATTTCTTATGACAGTTAAACTCATAGAAAATAAAAGAAATTAAAATATATTTAAAAAAATAATTTTTTTTTTAAATTTATGTTTGCTATAGTTTATTGTATTTTTATCGTACAAAAAAAAAAAAGATTTATATGCAAAACAATGTCTAATAATATTAAGGCATTCAGTTTTGCTAGAACTAGTTTTTTTGCAATTCTTCAGAAACAGATATACTCATTTAGAATTTATTCTATTTCAAGAACTGTCACTCGATCACTCTAGTACTCACGGACTTCAGTTTGGTGGAGAAAAAAAAAGTGAAGACGAGAAGATTTTTTTAATTCAAGAGATTTTTATGTTCTACATGTGTTGGGAACTAACACAACTCTTGGTCTTTAAATGCTATAAATATTATTTTTATCTAAACATCATGGCATAGATGTTGGTAATTATTCAAAGTTCTACTCCATAGTTTAAACATGTTAGAGAACTACTTTCTAGTAGATCTTAGTCTGCTACAAGATAATATTTTAAGTTTTATAAAGGTGTCAGCTAGTCGTAAGTCTTTCCATTTTTTTGCTGTAAGACAATAGGCTATTAGGCGCAAGTAGATCCGTAGTATTACCATTATAACCTATAAAACTTACTCTATGGTATAACATATAATAAAAAAGTTTATGGATATGATATAAAAAGTATATAGTGAAAAAATATTGATTGTGCAGAAAATTAGCGTGTTTAGGGTTATTCCTTAAAGTATAAATCCTTAAACTGCACCGTGCTGGTAAACAATAATATATAGGTAACATACTTATTTGAAGACTTTTTTTGTAAATTGAATGAAATTTGACTATAATTACAATAAAATTAAAAATATTAATTACCTCATCATTTTTTATGTTACAAATTCAAAATTTATACAATTTTTTATGTTATATATTTTAAATAAATTTTTACAAATATTAAAACATTGTTAATAATATTTTCCTGAAATCTCTTAAAATCCAACAATTAAAAATCATTTATAAGAAACTAAAACTTTTATAAGTAACAATTTCCACTTGATCTTCTCCCTCATCAACTCCAAAGTGCAATTCATTACCACTTTGGTATGCCCAAGACATGCGTTTAGATGTGAAAACAATGCCTAAAGTTCCATTTGCATCAATACTAATAACACCAGCAGTTTGATTGAAACGTTCTTTCATATTTTCCAGCACTTCTTTAGTTGCTTGATGTGCATTGAGACCCCGGTGCTGAACAAGTGCAAGTATACGTGATGCGACATTATAACGCATAATAAACTCACCCGGTCCAGTAGCAGATACAGCACCACTTTCATTATCAGCATAAGTACCTCCACCTAAAATTGGTGAATCTCCAATACGTCCAGATAATTTTCCAGTTATGCCACCAGTAGATGTCGCAGCAGCAACATTACCATTCACATCAATAGCTACAGCGCCAACAGTACCAGGTGAACCAAATAAAGTTGTATCAATATCATTAAGTTTTGTTAAAGCTTGTGTGGCATTTAAACTATTTTTGTAATTTTCAAGAGCTTTAAGAGCAGCTGAAGTGACTAATGAACCCTCTGGTAATATTTCGAAACCTTCTGATTCAGCAAATTTCATTACACCCTCTGCAGCCAGATACCTATGACGTGTTTTCTCCATAACTCTACGTGCCAAGGTTATAGGATTTACTATATCTCGTACCACTGACACACAGCCTGCATCTAAGCTTGCACCATCCATAATTGCTGCATCCATTTCAACTGTACCATCCCAAGTTAGCACAGAACCGAGACCTGCATTGAATTGTGAATATTCTTCCATAAAACGCACAGCTTTTTCAACTGCATCAAGACTGCTGCCATTATCTTTTAAAATTTCATAACCTAATCTAGCGGCAAGTTTAACGCCATATTTCTTAAGTGGTATGGATTCATCCGAAACGTCACCAGCTCCGCCATGCACCAACAAAATGGGCTGTAATTGCTTAGGAGAAAAAATTAAAGTTTTTCATTTACTTCTAGCAGATTCATATTAGATAATCTTCTTACTTGTGCTTTAACGTAGTACAAACAATACAGCAAAAAGACTACGACCTGAAAACAATAAAACAATCTAAATTATTTATATTTCTTAAACCTGTTTTTGAACATAAGTAATAGGTAATTGCAAATAATTTTACTTATCTACAAAGATTATCTTAAGTTTTCGTGTAATTGTTTTTTAATTTGTCAATAATATCAGTCAATAAAACTGTATCTCAAAGATACGAATAAAAGCACTAGCTTTTTGCATCGATATCAATTACCTTTAAATTTATCATAGCAGTTAAAAACAACCTAAACAGCACAAAGGTTCAGTGACAACTAAACTAAATTATTTGATTCTTTATTATGTTAGTCCGATAGTTAATAATTGAGTATATAATAAAGGGTAATCCACATACAGCTTTATAAGAATTGAACTGCATATAAATAAATATCTCGCTCTTATCGGAACTAAACTAGTATATACTGTAAGTTATTGATTATGATAGCGCATACCATATTGTGTCACTAGATATATTTACTTAGGTCGGTGGTATAAAGGCATGTAAAAGTTTGCTTTCTTGGTAATCTGTAACGTCAAACCCAACCACACGAGAAATATTTGTTGCCTGTGATTTAACAACGGTAAAGCCTAGAAAGCGTGTCACCATCAGAACATCAAGAGACTCTTGAATTGAGCCTGTCCATGAGCCATTCCGCTACTTAATGCTGCCCAAAATTAAAGGAAATCCAGGTAGTAGTTTTCTAAACCTTAATGCGTTTTTTAAAGCTTCAATAGTTCCACAGAACTGTTGCTAAAAGTATTTTTTTGCAACCCAAAATTTACTTTTGCATTCGTGAAAACCACCTCTTTAATTATTCCAGTCTGTTTCTTTACGTACACTTTTTGCCGTTTTGGAGATAATAATGTAGTTGCACCTCAGTTATTCCACCTCAGTGAGCAAATCTTCCACTAAATAGATTTAAATTTAACTGGTGGAAAAATGGTATACAACCCACTGCTTTGTTAATATTAGCATTTTCTTGACCAACATCGGAAAAGTCCTCACTAATTTTCAAAATATAGCTACCGTAATATTAATGGTTTCTTCCCTAACACTATTTCGAAACGTTTCCTGATGGCCAATATAAAGTTAGTTTAATAGAAAAACTGTAATCAAAAATGGATTCACTTCTACTGTTGCTACACAAAATTCATGATGTGAAGTTGCTTTACTGCTTGCCAACAGGTCCAGACCGTGTGTTGCACTATTAGTTTTTAAAACTGTGTTAGTTCATCTTCGTCTTACGAAAAGTATACAAACGTTAGCAACGCCACCGATGTGAGGTCTCTTAAGCGGATAAACTGCGATTACCGTCAATCTGTTACTATATAATGTAAATTTTACGTTATAAATTGATTAATTTCACTTTGAATAAAAATCAAAGAAATTATGGAAAGCTAGAAGACTTTTCAGAAAAAAAAAAATACTGTAAATCTAAAATTTTTTTTTAAACCATCAAAAATTAAACTTAAGCTTATAATTATTAAATAAATATATGTTGTAACAACCAATAAATATTAAATAATTCATAAAATAGAACCAAATTGATAAAAGAGCTTTCATAATTTTTATCTAGACATTAACTATATCGCTTATATGTCTCATTTACTGTACTATAAGCATTTTGTTAAATTTTTCATTCTATTTCTCATATGCGAAGGAATACAGTGATCCTTAAGCTTAAAGGTGGAGTTAGACGGTAGTTAACGTAAGAAGTTAAGTCAAAGCGAAATGCACAAACAACCAAACCTGTGTATTTGATAGGAACGAAATAAACATATGTGGCGAACTTATAGAAAAATCAAATTCAATTAGGTTTTGACGTTAAGCGATTTTAAAAACTGTGCTCAGTTGCTCGCAAAACCTTGATGAGGGTGGATGCGTTGCAATTATGTGCGGAATATGTTTACTATAACGAGAGTAGACGAAAAAATATTGTGATTATGAATGTGATTATTAATAAATTTTTTTTTTATATTATATTTTTTTATATAATTATTTTATTAATATTGCTGAATATTGATTGTATTTCTATATAGCAAAAATAATCAGCAGAAAATATTTTAATAAATTTATTTTATTAACATTTTTACAATAGGTAATTGTATTTTATAATAGTTAATATTATTTATTTTATAATATCAATAATTAATATCTTATATATTGATCAATAATCAGTAGAAAGAATTTAATTTATGGTATAATAAATATTGAAGAGAAATACTTATTTAATAATAATAAATAATATTAAAACATTAGTTATATATAAAAATATTTCACTAAAAATGTTTTTATTTGTTTTACTTTGAAAGTACATTCGTACAAAAAATATATATAGAAACATAGAAATTCACTTCACTTGAGAACAAGCAACTACCGGTTGGAGTTGGGAACCTGATCCCCGAGGACATTTAATAGCAACATGCTTGCCATCAATTGCACCAACACAATTTGGACTGTTCCATGTTTGCCAAAAATCTGATGCAATATGCCGATATTGCTCTTCTGTAGGTTCACTTAAATATATTGGTGATAGTAATTGCCAAATAATATCACACATTTCCAACACGGTGTTTCTAACTGTAGTTCTTCCCAATTTATAGCTCCATGCTAAACTCTGTAAAGGGACGCCATGTGCCAAATACCTTTAAAAAATGTTCGTGTTATTTTTACTAAAATTACTAATAAAACAGTATATGTAACTTACAAAAGAGTAAGTGATAAACGTTCATCAGCATTTATTTGCTGCCCACATTTTGTCGCAGAAGGAGCTATTAACTTCAATAATAAAGTATATAATTCTTTAGACATCCGTGTATGACTAAAAAATTCTTCGTTATTTTTTTCTTTTATGGCTAAAAACGTTTTTCGGTAATAGCCATGTAGAGCACGATCCACATTAATAGGACGAACTCGCCACCTTCTATTGCGCATTTGATTTCTCATGCTGTACAAGCGCAAAATGTTTAGAAACAAATTACAAGCTTGCACAGTCAATTCATTTTGATTATACATATTTGTTAATAATTTACTTAAACTATTGTTAATTATTTCACTTTCAACAAAAATAACACAGAATTTCACTACACTTGCGGACACTCAACTACCGACTGGAACTTTTGAAAATATTTCATTTGCATGTTCCAATGTAAACAAAGTCAGCTGCTTACTTACCGTCTAACACCGCCTTAACTTAAAGCGAAATTTTCATTTCGTTTCTTCTTAACATCTTACGTTAACTACCGTCTAACTGAACCTTAAGCTTTACATACCTATCTTAGCATATCTAATAAAGTCTATATATATCAATATATATCAATATATATATATCAATATTTTTAAAATTTTTAAAATTGCTATAATAATATTACGAATGTGTTAATGGAGATAGTTTGAAACTGTTAGTAACTTTTTAGTACTAAACTGGAGTTAATTTATATGCAACCCTCCTAAATGATTTTAGTACAAATGTGACACTTTGCTTTGTTGATAAACAAAGCAGTACTAAAAAATTTTATTCTAGTGAATATTTTACATTTCGTGAAATGTCGTCAAAGAATTGTATAAAACTGGAAGTCTGTGTTGATTCCATCGCATCAGCTGTGGCGGCTGCTGAAGGTGGAGCAGCACGAATTGAATTATGCTCAGCGCTAAGTGAAGGTGGTTTAACACCAAGTGTTGGTACACTGAAAATACTTAAAGAGAAATGTCTTAACATTCCAATATTTTGCATGTTACGACCAAGACGTGGAAATGACTTTATTTATTCGACACTAGAAATTCAAGCTTTACTTGCCGATATGGATATACTCCGTGAACAAGGTGCAGATGGCTTTGTCTTCGGTGCTCTAACGAACGGACAAACTGTAAATACGGAGCAGTGCCAATATGTTTTACAGCAAGCAGCTGGTCTGCCAGTAACATTTCACCGTGCATTTGATCTAACTAATCCAATTTGTATGGACGAAACTGTTTCACAAATAAGACATCTTGGTTTTAAACGAATATTGAGTAGTGGTTTTTGTCAAAGCGCAGAAGAAGGTACTAACAATTTGGCAAAACTAATTGCGAAACATCATCGTGATATAATAATAATGCCTGGGGCAGGTATTAGTGTTAGTAACTTAGATGAGATTCTTACAGCTACTAAATGTGCTGAATTTCACGCCTCTGCGAAGAAAGAAGCTGGTGAAAATATTAATATTACAAAAATGGATTGTGAGATTTCTATGGGAAAACAAGATATTGAACCTTATTCAATAACAGATGTCAATGTTGTACGAAAGATGGTAGCTATTGGTAGAGCAGTGACTGGAGAATAATTTTTAATTGATTTTATTTATATATCATATACATATATTATATACCATATAAAATGTATGATGCAAAGTACTTGTCGATGAATATTTTCAACAAATTAAATGCCATTCAAAGAATTAAATTTGTTATTTAAACATTTAAGTCAATAAAAAAAAAAAACGAAACGATTAAGTATTGGATTTTTATTTTTTTAATGTACAGAAGCCACCAATAGTTTAGTTTGGCATAAAATTTACAGGAAAGTTGTTCCAAATAACGGTCTTCAGAATTAATATATTTATTTATTCATTCACAGAAAGTTGCCCACCATTTCCACAATCAGTAGTTATCACCTCCAAAAGGTAATCTAATGGCCATGTTATGGAGAATAACAAATCATTGTCGATCATCACATTTGTTGTTGCTTTCAATATAAATATAATATATAAAATTAAATATAAAATATAATATGATTCTTACTAAGATTTTTAAAATCCTAATGTTGAAATTCCACTCTAGTATCAAAATTATCAGAATTAAAATTTTTGAAAAATAATACCGAACATATTTTACGCATGTATTTTCTAAACATGATTATCAAATTCTACTTAAATATCATTTTATATACATATGATGTGTACTTAATATGCAAAGAACTTTATACTACTATTAGTTAAGATTGGTATGTCTTCTATACTACTATTTAAGAGTAGAATCAAAATTACGTTACATTGCCTCTCTGTTTGCGGGATAAGACTAAACTGTTTTTGTTTTGTTTTCTCTTTTTCTTTCTTCAACTTTCGCTGTTGTTCTTTTCATTTTAACGACGGAATTGATACGAAAAAAGAAAATAATTTTACTTGGATTGCTAAGAAAATCATTGAACAATAAAAATTCAAATATAAAAATGGTTTTAACATATCATAAGTTAAAAAAATTAATAAAAAATGTTTAAATAAATTTTGTTAGTAGAATAAATAAAACTTTCAGATAAATTGCGTTCTAATTATACAGAATTTTTTTTTTTTTGTCGTAATGCCAAAGAGAATATATGCATAAAGAGCACTAGAAATTCTCTAGATATAAAGAAAAGTAAATCAACAAAGAAAGCAATTATTATAGCATATAATGGGTAGAATATTTCTGGAGCATCTTGGTGGCATTAAATTATTTAATTGTGCACAGTGTCATACAAACTTAACAAATCGCAATCAGCTGATAAGCACCCGTTTTACTGGTGCCACAGGTAAATATTTTATAATTCATATTGTAATATCATTCTAATGACGTCATATTGTGCACTTCCTATATACTTAGGTCGAGCTTATCTGTTTAAACGAGTCGTTAATCTCACGTTCAGTAATGTACAGGAGCGTGTAATGCTTACGGGTCGACACATGGTACGCGATGTTATGTGCAAAAACTGCAATAACAAGTTGGGTTGGATGTATGAATTTGCTACCGAAGACAATCAAAAGTAAGTTCATACATAAAATATTTAAATATTTCTTTTGTTTATAATTTGTAAATGTTAAGTATTATATTTTAGTACATATACATTGTGTATGAATTTAAAATTTTATTTATTTAAAATTTTCAGCATTATTTCATATTTATTTGTTTATAATATGGTAAACCCGTGGAAGTAACACAAAAGCGTTATTAATGATCATAGTATTTTCTCTATTAATAAATGAATCTTCCATAACTATTAAACTAGCTTTTCCACTAAGGTGTATCAATAACTATACTGTACTACATTAATCCCCATCATTGGATAAATGAAAGACTTCTCTCTCATGCAGCAATAATTGTATGAAGTCTGATTATATCAGTACGAACTACATGAAGCCTGATTATAGCCACAAGAACTAGCTTCTTAACTGAACAAAGACAGACTTCTTTGTACAATAACTACACGAGGTGTGATAATAGTCCTATGATTATCAGCTAGTTATTACTCATAAATACGTCTGTCCTCAATGTATGCCCCAATTGCAGCTCTATTCCTCATAACATTACAGTTTTTGTTTTCATATCCAAATGCACACACAAATTTTATTACTTTATAACTCACTCCGTTGAGTTGTTAAGATTCTTTTGTATGGGCTCCTACCTTATAGACTCCAAATCCCATCCTATTTTGCAAAATTCGTCATCCTTTTATGTGCTTGCTCTACAGTTGTAACAAATAAAAAGTTTTGTCTTGGTACAACCGCTGAAATAAGCAATAAGCAATCATGTTCTATAACTTTTCAATAAAATGTGCATTTTACAAAAAGTGCATTTGTATTCACGTCTATTAAACATAATTAATTAAGCCTGTTGGTTCCTCCAATCTGCCACTTTTCCAAATTCATTGTTAAAGAGTGTTGTTAGAAGGTTAAAACGACCTCGTCAGTATATTTATAATTGTAGTTTTACTATTATACACTATTTATTTTTGTTTAATTTATTATCTTTTAAAATATATAAGTAAATGAAATAACTAACTAATAGTACCAAATATTACAATTATAATTAATCTATTTTATATTTTACAAATTGCAGGTACAAAGAAGGTCGCGTTATTTTAGAGTATGCACTCATCAGCGAAGCAGAAGGGTTAGCTACAGAAGTAATACAACCTCATCATTAAACCAAGTTGATCAATAAATAAACATAGTTATATGCATCCTTATTTAAAGTAGATGTTTAAGTCATTTTTGAATCTAAGCTAATTTATGGTGTTTTAGTTTGTAAAAATCATTATTATTATTATTATTAGTAGTATATATATACATATTTTCTATATTTAAAAATAAATTTACTTGCGTACTAAAGCGAGGCTTGCACAAATCGTCGTTTGAAAGTGAGGCTTTAAAGCTTACATATTTATCAATATTATACTATAATTTACTTAATATATATATATTTTTCAAAGGCGAACTCATGTAATCACAAGTCAGCAACTTAATTTTACAATAAATTATGAACTTAATATATATTTTATATTACGAATATCGTTATATTACAAATATTATCACTTATAAAACGTTAAGTGTGAGTATTTTGTGACGAATATCATGCTAAATTATGAATTAAGTAAAATAAAATTACTTTTAAAGTTAATACGTATGCGTTATTAAATATATTCAACAATAAATGAAAAATTTAGACATAAAAACTTTAGTGTTTTTGCTTTCAGAAAAATTAGAACACCTATTATAATAAATGGAAAAAAGTGAATTTTTATTATTTAAAAAAACAATTTTTCTGTTTTCATTTCCGTCGCAATAATTTCATAAATTTGTTTGTACTACAGTAATATTTTTTGCTGTGCAAATAATAAATAAAATGAAATAAGCTAATAATCAGCATCCCTTTAATTAAACTCCTAAATTGTTATTGGCGCAACTAACGCATGTAACCTTTTTCGCCTGCATATAAAAAACTAAGTCAATTTAATTTTTTAACTTAAAATTTATTTTAACATTGTAATGTATTTCACTAAATACAATATAGAACTATAACAAAGTTTGTACAAATGCAGCCGCGCTATTTGAGGTTTTATAATTTGCCGGTCTTTTGTGCCATAGCCATTGCATTTTCATTGACAATCATTTGGAACTCTTGGAAGCGTTGGGAAATCCTCTGATTCATTTTAAGATATTTTTCCATGCAATTCAATGCGCATTTTTCCTGAAATTTAACAAAACAAAGGAACACATTAACCAATACACTCTTTTGTTGTTGGTGATATAATTTCGATGTACATACTTCATTATTTTTCACGGTACGGGAGGTGAAATCACGGACACAGTCTGAAAAGCACATTTCAGATAATTTATTATAAGACATCAAGAAATCTGAAAACTACAAAACAAAAACAATGTCATTTAAAAAAGTTTTAAAATTATTTCGCACAATTCTGTATCAATTTTTTTATCTTACTGTTTTCATTTGATCCTTATCTATTGTTTCAAGTGTTACTTGTTGTCCTGCGGCTGCCATTTTTAATTGAGATATGAATTATTGTCACTTTAATTCAAAATTTTATTAAATTTACGAAAAATTTAATTTTGTATATTTTAATATGTAATCGTCCAACAACGAGGCAGTGTAATCAGCTAACAGCTGTTTTTGACAACCTACTTTAATACAAATAGAATATTTCTTAACAACTCTGTCCTTTGAATTGACAAGTAACCAGTAGTACTCTATAATCAGTAACCAGTGGTCTATAAAATAGTTTCGATAAATACTTAAACAAGTATTTTATAGTTTACAAACTAATATGGCGTTTACATTGAAAGTGTTTACATTCGTTCTTTTTCATTTGTTCTCATTTCAACAGCTGATTTTTCAATTTGCATGTTGATTTGATTTTTGGCCTGTGCCAAAAAAATGTTGCATGAAGGTTAAATATGCCTTCAAACCTTACATTAGAAACTTAAAACATATTTTTAACTTCGATTAATTACTTTTTGGGAAGTAAAAGTTCTAAAAAGCAGTGCATCGTTTTCAAGAAAATGCAACCACCAAACATTTGTTTACCTTTTTTTGTAAATATGTTAAAAACAGCTTTTTCAAACTGTTAAAATGCCATGAAGAGCTTTCATTTAGGGTATGTTCAATGGATTCCTTTGCATTTGGAACGTATGTGGAATGCATTCGAACGTCATACAGAATGTGAGAAAATTGCTCATTTTTGTGCTTGAAATTTTATATGCAAGAATGAGCCATTCGATACTCATTTTCGATTTTTGACCAAAATGAGCCATTTTCGGCCAATGTAAACGCCGTATTATCATTTTTTTATTCAAAATATTTATAATTATTATAATATTTTCTAAATTCATATTTTAACTAGAAAAAAAAAGAATTAATTTATTTATTTGTTTTCATTATGCAAATTTAAAATAAAATACTTAAAATACTAATGTTCGTTCACAAGTGATCACTTTGGTGTGGATGTACCTTTATTCATAATATTGTCAATTTTAAAAATTTTAGAAATGAAAGAAAATTGAAATATATATGTGTACTAATAAACAATAATTATGCTTACCAACTTTCTGAAAACCACGTAGGCATATGTATTCGGTATCTATAAGACGTATTTAAATCATTTTCGAGTTTATCTTAATAACCGTGTAGAACTTATTCACATCTTTCACAAAAAATGCAAAATAAGTGCGTACTTATTTTTTTTTCTAGCTACGTTTGCTTATTAAATGCTGCCTCGAAAAATTGCAATACATTATTTAAAATCAATGAAGAAAATTCTAAAATATAGTGATTTGAGATGTCAAATAAAGGGCGGACTAAAAAGAAAGAAGATTTATGCTATTAAAGAAGATCTAAGGATAATAAATGTTAGATATTATACAGGATTAGTGCGATAAAGATTTAGATGCGAAAAGTGAAAGATGTGCACAATATAGAAATTATCTACCAAGTTTGCTTTATCAGCAACCAATTTTATGTCTGGAAACTATTCATATTTTAAAATAACCAATGACTACAACACAGTTAAAGAAGCTTTATTCTATATGTCTCGTTTTCAACATATTGTATTGTTATGTTATGTATCAGTAAACTATCAGTATCAGTAATTTTTTGTTAGCTTGTGATTCATTCTTCAGGGACAATTGACAATCATATAACAAATACCTTTTGCTGGTTCCAGCAGCGGTTGGGTCGAACTCTAGAAGTTACTGTTGTTGTCATTGTGTCCAGTACGGAATCGCTTGTAAAATCACTTTGAGGGCTCATAAATAGCGCTTGGTAATCGAGTTAGTTATTTTATATTATTAAGTATGAATAAGTAACCGAATCATTAAGTCTTACAACACTAATAAGTGTATATACGAATTTCTCGTTTAAAATAAAACAGTTGTATACATTTATTTAAATAATTTATTTAATAGTAGTTAAACTCAAAATAAATATATATTTTGTTCCCGAAAATTTTTTCCGTTTTCATATGCAATTTTGTCTTTGTAAAATCTAAAATATGAAATTTCTGTTCTCAAAAAATTATTTAAATTCCTTTCAATTTTGTATTAAATTCACATCACTTTCTTAAAATTTTTATTTTTTGTTCAAAATTTGTTACAATATTTATTTTTAAATAAAAAAATATTAAACGAAAATTTTAACTCTATAAACACTACACATAAATGAATATGTTTTATATTTACAATAGGTAATTATTTAATTACGAACTACATTTAATACGTTTAAATATATATTTATATATATATGTATATATACGTAAATATCTATATATCATTATCGTACGTTTTAAGTAAAAATTAATTCTACAAAGAAGCATTAAATTAGTTTTACAGCGAAAGTACAATTTACATTCATAAGCCGATACAATCATAGAAAACATAATTATTATAAAAAAACTGCGCTTGAAATTCTTACATATACTTAATGATTAAAAATAATTTAAATATTACACACATTTAAATGAAACTAAACACTTTTAAATGAAACATTTGAAATGGACATTGAAAAACATAAAATATTAAATATTTAAAAAATATCTCGTACAGAATAATTACAAAAATGCGCATGTGTTTTGTTTTTTGTAGTGGCACAGATAAAATTCATTTAAGTTTCTGTACAGCAAAATTATCTGGAACTGTATGTTTTGTACACGCGTTGCGCGTTACTTCGAGTTGATCCCGAAGCGCCAGTTGAAGTTGATGGTGAAGTATCTGTAACATTAGACTGACTTGTGTCTAAATTCAATGGAAGCGCACTATCATTTGGTTCATTCATTTCATTTACTAAATCACGTTTCTTAAAGTAATCAATTATTTTCTTTGTAGACTTAATATGTGCGACAACAGAAGCTTCCGACTGTAAAATAAAATAATAATTTTAATTTTTTATATTGAAATTATAAATTGTAGCATGGAAACTTACGCTCGCTGTTAAATTCATGAATGTGTAGTATTTTTCCAAAACACTGACAAGCTCTTTGAATCCATTACCATGCAAATGTGTGCGTATTACAGCTTCATACTCTTCATTATCTGTAATTAAGTGTCCAATGAGTATGCCAGTGTAACTACCTTTAAGGGTATGCTCCATGTGATGTCCCGCCTTTTGTAGTACTATATATACAAAATAATAATAATAATAAAAGTATTATATTAAGTAATATAAAAGTTTTTTAATAAACTCACAGTTGTTTACAGTCTCGTCTACTTCCTCTTGTTTTTTTTTGTTTTTCTCAGTATTATCCAAAATTGCATCTGTATTCTTTTCAACCAGTCTAAATTACAAAATCACAAATTTATTAAATAAATTGTGTGAATAAACATAAATTGTATATAATGGCATACCTAGCTAACTCTTCACATTTGTAGAAATATTCCATCAAAGCTTGAACAGCTGTCATCTTAGTTTGTTGATCATCATAATGTAAACCAAATTCTGATGGAGCATATGCTTTGATAATTGCAGTTCGATTTGGTATATTGTGCATAGAAAGATTTATAAGTAGCAAAAGCACCTATAATTCAATTAAATTAAATATGTTAAAGTTAGAAATAATTCAATATGTTCTTAGTTTTATTTTTATATTTACCAATATGCTTAGTTCGAAGACGCATTTATCAGGAATGTAATTCGGTGCTTGCAGCAATAAATGGAAACTTATTTCTATAAGATCTTTTTGTTGTCCAACCACCTCGGGCCCCACTGCATTTGCTGGATTGAACGTATGTGTTAAATTAATGAGTACTTTCATCAGTGGTATCAGCACTTGACGCAGTAGCACACCAGGATCATCTTTGGCCGTATGTTCACTTGTAGGATGCAAAACTAGTTCCCGATCACATAATCTATACAACGTGCAGAGCGTTTTCACAGTTCCTCCTTTTGCATAATTTAAAATATATTTCTGATTTTCTTCATTCATTTGCGTTACATTTTCTAGCACCCGCATACAACGCTCCACAGTTTGTATATTTTCTAAAAGTGAATGCGTCCAATTAATGGCTAATGATTCTTCACTACACGTGATAATGGGTCGACAGGAATCGCATATTGTTTTAATAATTTGTTCTAAACCACCAAGTTCTCTCAATTCTTCCTTGAACCACTCGCCTGCACGCTTTGATGTCAATGAAAGCAAAGTTTCCATTGCTAATGTACCCACTGAAATCGAGTCAACATTTAGATGTGTTCCTTTTCCTTGCAATTTGATTTCTTCGCAAAGTTCTCGCACTTTCTGTTTATTGCGTTCATAATTTGCTCTATCCGAAGGTGCAGCAACACTTTCCGACTCAAGTAGGTTCATCATTAGTTCAAGAGCATCCCTATCCAAATCCATATTTAAACCTTCCTGAGAAAGTATATACATAATAGCTGAGGTGCAAAGTCCAAGACTCAAATTTTTGTTCGCATCGGAAAGCGCCTTAAACACAATTAGTGAAAGAATATAAAAAGTATTTTTAAATTTATTTACCTTGAAAAATTTGGTCACTACACCGTGTGCTCTTACGTGCATACGAAAAGCGGGAGTCATGCATTTTGTGGCCAATTGTAAGGCTGATAAACAACGCGTTGGAGTAGGATTATGCGGTTGTAATGCATCCAGAATGTACTCTACATCATCGTCCATCTCTTGATATTCACCAATTTCTTGTATTTGATGCGCAGCTTTCACATTCCGCACAACAGTGTAATATTCTTTCGCTTTTCGATCAACTTTAATGCTAGTAATCGTATCAGCAGGTTTCTCAGCATCAATGTCTATATCAAAAGGATTCGCTTGAGGATTTGGTTTAACTACGCGTGTTAATTTTTCGATAGGATTAAAGTCTTCACTAAAATCATCCGGCACAGTGCCTTGCGTATTATTTGATTTGGCAGGTGATGCAGTGCCATCACTGCGAGTGCCACCATTCGCTTGGGCGTCCCAACTGTGCTTGTATAGATGTCGTTTAGCAACAGATGATTGCTCAGACTGTTCTGGTGGAACAAGTGCTCTGCTTTTGAAGATACTGCCTTTCTTTTTAGATATGACCAGTTTTACACTACCGCGCTGTTGCTCTTCCTCACCAACTCCTGCGTTTTCAGCACACAGTGAGTTGGCATTTGAAGCTACTACTGCATTGCAATTTACTTGATTGTCTAAAGTTAAGGTGCGCTTAAATTTATCTTTAATTTTATAATCTCGTCTTGGAGGAGATATAGGTGTTGTGCTGGATGGACGAGTAAGAGAGTTTGAATTAGAATTGGCATCATGTAGATCTACCGTGGATGTATGTCGTTTTTGGGCGGAAAGTTCAGGTGATGGCGAGACTGACGTTGTTGTAGTTCCACCTGGCACATCTGTTACTTCAATATTGGGTATTTTGGCTGGCATCATTTGTTGTGCATCATCGTCCTCTTCTGTAGGTTGCAAAACTTTCGTCACTTGTTGATTTTTGCGTTTACGGCCATAGCTCCGTTGTGTTGATTGCGTTGTCAAAGTGGGTTGTGATGTGTTAATTGTTGAGGCTTTCAATTCATTGGAGGCATCTGCTTTAGCTGAGAGATTATCGGCTATTTTGTTTATATTATTATTAGTACTCAGATTATTGTTATTTTTGGCGCTTCGCGTCGTACGACCCCTCCTGGCTGTTGGTTGTGTAGGCAGATTCTCTTCTTCGGACTTATTTGGTGACATATCTTCAGCTGCATATTTATTCGGAGAAAGTTCTTCAATTTCCATTGCAACTACAGTGGCAGTCACTTCTTCTGGTTTCTTTGCGCCACGTCTTGTTGTTCGCTTTAGTGTTGGAGCCTCTTGTGCAACTAAGGGCACATTTACTTGTGGTTTTCGACCACGTGTACGAGTTGCTGGCTGCGCTTTTAGAGCAGCTGGCATTTCTTCTTCTTCATCAACGCAATTTGCTTTCACTGCGATGGGTTCTCGCCCACGCCCGCGAGTACGCCGCTTTGTATCCTGCATTTCAACATCCTCGTCTGCAGCAATCTCTCCTTCACCTTCATTATTAGTACCATTAACTTTTACGTTAACGATATCGTTCGCTTGAGTATCATCACCACGTAAAATCGCAAGTATGTCCTCTTGCAAAGGTTCTGCTTCCAAAAGGTTTATAGAACGTTGACTATTTTCACCATCCATCATCATAGATTCGAGACGAGACTCTATATCAGAAGGCGCTGCAACAAGAGATGAGTGCTGACTCGTTTCAAGGTCACTAGTTATTACACTGGAACCTCTGCTCCGTACAACGCAACTTTCCTCTTGTGGCGTTTGCACTTGCAGCTGTGGGGTACTGTTTCCTTTGGAAGAAATGCTACCGAGTACTGATGATTGTGAATCAAAGTCACGTTCAGAGAGTGCTGGCGGAGAAATGATAGTGCGTGAAGGTGGCTGTTGTTGTTCCGTAGCTAAGCCTAATGCCAAGTGTGGAGATGGTGTTTTAAATTCACTGATGGAAGTAGAAGCTGCAGGTATTAAATGTTCTACAGAAGTGTGTTTCGGGTGTTTATGCTTTTTACTTCTTTGTTTCTTCTCTTTTTCGTGTCGGTCACCTTCTGTAGCTGTATCTGCTGAGTTGGCTTTTTCAGCTGCTGCTGCTGCGTTTGCTTTTCGAATTACGTTGGTTTTTATTATTATCTTTAGACGTTCTTTGGGTGGTTTATCCGGTGATATTTTAACAGTACAATAATTAATTTCGTCGTTCTCGTTAAGCAGTGGCGGCGGTTCAGGAGACGGAGGCTTAGGCGGCTTAACAATGATTTTAGGAGTAGTTGGTAATACAGTTGCTACATTAAGTGGTGGGACAGGCACTTCTTCAGTAGAAGCGTGGCGTGATTTTGTTCCTTCAATATCGTGCTGATGCGGTGAATTACTGGCATTTGTTGGTTGCTCCTCACTGTCTGTACTAACCAAACGTGAAATACCCTGCAAAATACAAAGAATTATTAAAATATCAATATATAAAATAAATATTAATGATTTTTTTAAGTATAAATTTGTAGAAAGTACCTCTCATAATTACGTGTTATATGTTTAATAAATTTTTTGCTTGACAAAATAACGATGCTTTGCGATTTAAAAGCATAAACAAAACTGAACAATGTTACCAGCTTGAAACTGTGGAACAGAAACTGTTTGTTATAAAACTAATGTGTCATGCAAGACGTTTAAAAATTTATTAAAATTAATTTTAATAGAAATAGCATTAAAATGGTTTTAAAATAAAACACTTAAACATACAGTTTACAGCAAAATAGTATTTGATAAATATGAGCACCTTTTCAACAAAGGCAATGTAATAGAAAAACGCGCCAAAATTTTTAGTGGTTCTTTTTTCATGTTCTTCTTTGTGCTTACTTTCTATAACTTCTTTGGGTTTGTTTTTTTTCTTGATCGCATTTAGTGTCAAATATATGCGCCCCCTGCTAGTAGTGAGTGGTGAAATTAACTTTTCTGTGTATGTGTAGAGCAACAAACATTTGTGGTCAAAATATAAGTGATTACTAAGAAGATTTTTTTTATGAAATTTAGTTTCAATAGTAAACGCACAAAATGTAGTTGGTAATTTAATGACTTCTTATATATTTAAATGGGTTTAAAAGAAATTTTTATATTTATAAAGTTAGTATTAAAATAAATAAAGTAACTTATTGCTACTAATTGGAAGGCTAATTCTACTATTACTACGAGTAGCTGTAAGTTTATGTTTGTAGTTAAGCACTTTTAATATATTAATAATAATTGTATTAAACAACAATTTCATATAAAAACATATCCAAGCATTGAATTACCTTTGATATTCGCAGCACAATTGGTGGATGTTCTGGTGTTTTGGGAGCCATATTTACGGGTGCAGTAGGATTTGTTACAGTAGATAAAATCTGATTGGAAGTTATGGATGGCGTAGCGGGAGGTGGTAAGGCCGGTTCATCTACAGGTAGCGAATTCAGTACATCAGTTACCTTTTCCTTAACCTTCGGTATTATTATATCTTTGATTGGTGTAGACGTTCGTTCATCATCATAATCCTCACAGTAATTAATTGCCTTTCTTGCACGCGGTATTATTCTCGAAGGCGGAGCCTCCGGTTTGATTTTTTTCACTTCTTTTTTCTTTTTCGATTTAGACTCTGAGGGTTGTTTAGGAGTTAAAGACTCTATATCATCATCATCTATATCCTCCGTCGATTTTTTCGCTTTAGCTAGTTTTTTAGTTGATTTCTTCTTCCGCTCAGCAGAATTACTTTTACAAATTTTCATTTTCATAGGCTCTGAGCCTAGTACTGGCGTGCTAAGATAACTGGGATTATGTGAAGAATCACGTGTCGGTGATGTTGCTACACGCGGCAATTGTTGTAGCATTTGTGCTATGACTTCTGGTGGAGTAGTATTTCGTGATTTAAAGAACTTTTTTGGTTTAGGAGGTTCTGGAATCGACGGAGATAGATCGTCATCAAGTGCTGATGCCGGACTTTGAGAGGGAGTTGATGCTGCCACTGCTGCTGCAGCTGCTGCCATAGCAGCTGGAAGCGCAGACAATGCATAAGTTCTTGTTGATGTAAAACCCATTTTACCCCATTTTCCAACAGTACCCACGGAACGTGCTACGGTAGGGCGATTCGTGCTTTCTTTCTCTTTACAAAGCGAATCTAAAGGAACGACTATTGTTTTACCCCAACGCGACATTATCAGTTGTTTAGCGTTTTACGTGCAAAGGTAGTTGTTAAAATTTTATATAATTTATACTAGGAATCTTTATCCAGATATTTTTTACATTAATATGAAAACTGAAAGTAAAATATATTGCTTTATTGATATTAACTGTAATCTACATATTTACGTTTAATAGTATCATTAATTTATAATCATACTATAAGTATTTTTACTTGTTTTGTACTAATGCAATTATAAACATTATAAAATAATTACAGTCAATGTACTGGTTCTAGGATTTTTAATTAAAAAGCACTAGTTTTGATTGGTACTATTGTAAATTGATTGGTTGATGTAAATTTATTGCAAAAATCCTCAATTAATTAACAAAATATGGATCATTTTTAATTGAAGTCCAGTTTATTTCACAAAATTTAAATTTTTATTCAAAATACAGCATAGTTAATTACTTTTATATTAAAATTAGATTTTTTTTAATATTTATATTGCGCGATTTATATTTTGTTTTGATTTTCTTTTCCAAAGTTAAGTCACCACACTTTCATTATACATTCATGGGGAACAAATGTCAAATAGTTGTTGTATTTTCAACTAATTCTGCTTTCTATTCGAGATTCTGTGAAAAAAATGAATACCAAAACCAGTATATAATTTAATTTTTCTTCTACAATATTTATTACAACGTTTTTATTTAGTTGTCTACATTTTAATAGGATTGTAATTTTACTTTGTATATATTTTTTTAACAAAATATTCATTCTAATTGCTTTTCTATATGCATCGTTAATACATTTTTTTTTCTCGAGCATACGTACATTTATTTCATAGGGATAACACAAAATTTTCATTTACAATTAATTCACTTTAAAACACATTTTGCATAAAAATATTATAACCCAATATTAATTTGCACATTATATTACACTTTTTTACTTAAATTTTTATTTAAATTTGCTTAATATTTTATAAAATTTGGTAATTAAAACAAATTGTGTTTAGAAAAGCCATTTTTATTTTTCTATTTATTCACCACTGCGACAGCCAAATAAGTCATAAAAATTGTCTGTGAGTCTGCTGTCATAAAAACAGTACGGATAAAAAATTTTAAATTAATTTCAATAGTTTACATAGCGCATATATTCGCTATACAATGATTTAATCGCAAATTGTTTATTATATTTAATAATATATAGTTTTACCTATGAAATCATATAAATACAATTAATAGAATAGCAACTATCAAACATTTTATTTAAAAGTATATACGTATTTAATACCGATATGTGTGCTATAATATTCCAATTTGAATAGAACAGCTGTTTGGCATATAAAAGAAAATAATTAAATGTAAAAAAATAGTATCTTAAACAAATATTTTTTAATAAAACATTAGTAAAAGTGAATTAATTCAAAATTTTGGACTACAGTATGCTTAAAAAAAAAAAATTTACTATTACGACATTGTGTTAAAGTTCAAAAAATCACTAGTACATATTTGTATATGGTACTAAAAGTTGATGCACACATATGCAACAAAGGAGGGTAAATTTGTTTAATTTATCCTTTAATGAGTGTTGTTCTTCGGCACTAGGCTTACAAATATGACTACATAAATACTAATTCCATTAATAACCTGAACTTGTTTTTAATTATTAGAAGAGGTTTCTTAATACTTAAGACTTCACGGATTTACAGTATAAATCTTTCATTATATATTTCTAAGCGTTAGTTCAAATTTTACTTTTGAACCTCTTCATTTGACAGAGCAAAAAAAAAAACAAAACTAAATTTAGTGCATTTTAATTTAATCATTTTTAAATCAAAGACCCTATCTAGTCTAGTTTGAAAATTGGTTAAAATATTTTGATAATAGGAAGCATGACTAGAGTTAAACATATTTGAATTTCATATCTATCGAAGTGAAAATAATTCGTTGGTTATTTATAACATTAAATAAGTTTTAATTGATCAAATGAATTAGATTTAAATTCATTGCATATTTCATGTTAAAAGTTTAATACTAAAATAAATTCATTCTCAGTTTTGTTTTGATTTGTCCATTTCGTGGTGAATATAATTTGTTCTCCTTTTAGTTGTTTATTTTGAACAGATTGTAGTTATGGAAAGCATAAACTAAAATATAAATAACAAATGTGACAAAACACTTAATCAATTTAATTTAAAAAAAGGTAAATAAGTAAAAGTAAATATAAAAATGACGTACTCAATTAATACTTATTGAATTTATTTTGAAGACAATAATCACACTAAAATACGTACAAAATATAATAAACATTATGTATAATAATTAAAATATAATATTATGGCTTCATAATAACTTTGAACATATTTTTGGCATTTTTACGTCCATTAACAATATAGGCAAGTGGATCATCTTGTGAAGATTCCATCAAATTGTCACATGATGTTTGATTGATTGAAAATAGAAATGACAAGTCGATATCATAGCGTGGAAGTTTTTCTCTAAAATAAAAAAAAAATTCTAATTAAGTTTTTATTAAATAGTAATTATATTACCTTAGAAAATTGATCACGTTCTCCCCTAATTGTGGTTCTCGCGACAAAAGTAATGCCGATAAATAGCGAGGATGCTTTTTCTTTTCAGCGCAATGCATTATTAAACTCCAAGTAGCATAATCAGTATCAAGGACATACGTATTATAAATTCCCTCATCTATTAATAAATTCAGTAGTGTAAATAACAATATTTAGTAAATATTGTTTATAAAAATCTGATAATATTTAATTAAAATATAATACATACAAATATCTTCAATATGCATCCAATGCGCTGGTGTATTAAATTCTGGTATCATCCAAGTTAAATTTCCCTGTAATTTCTCTCGCAAAGGATCTTCCGCAAAAATATAAGTAAAGTTCATGGTTATCTTAAAACAAGAAAACAAATAATAAATAAAATAGAATTACGTGAAAAATATTAAAATTGATGAAAATAATCAGGGTTGTGACCTTGTTTGCTAATGTGAACAATTGTTTGGTTCAGAAACTGATATATCTAGCCTATAAATTGGTTAAAGTAAAAATTTGAGAAGCCTTAAATGATTTTCAATTTCACTAATGGTATTTATATATAATACCTAACTGAACCTTTTAATCATAGTTAAGATAGTTAAATATAATATGTTAATCACAGATATTGACATGAGATATTAATCTGTCTTAAGCGTTTGAAATATTATCTTGAGATGAAAATTTCATGTATTATAATAAATGTGAATGGGCTTAAACACCTACTTAACCCAGAAGGAGGGACAATAGACCCGACCGTCGCAGTGCAACATCCCCTAACAATATTAATAATGAATGTTATTCGAGGTTATTACGTGTTTATTTGATTTTATCAGCACAGTACTCCTAGATTTTTATTAAATTAGGGCTAGGATACTTCATATACACGTTACAACCACGAATTAAACGTAATTCATTTTAAGGCAGATATGGTGACTAATATGAAGTATCCTGGTTAGTGGGGTATTCCAAGTATAGGCAAGTATGTTGGAGTATAGACGGAAAAAAAGCAAATTTCATTAATTTGAATTCCAAATTTAAACCATTTGTGCACTATACAAGTATACTTTTTAAAGAATGATTATAATTGAGAAACATTGCAAAACATTAGTTTCGATTTATTTTCTGTAGATTAAATCTAGAAATACAAAACGGATTTTTAAATGTGTCTCCAGTATAGATTTAGGTTCTTACTTCATTATATATCTATCGGATATAACTAATCTATACATTAATGAAACATCTATGCATAATGTTCGTTAAATTAAATCAAGTCAAGTTATAAATGCGTTCATCACTAAATAAATCGCTTCCCTAAATACTTATCCAATATACAAAATGTATATACTAAAGACAGAATGGTCAAAATTATACCGTGATTTCTGATCTGCAATAGTTATTCTATATCCGTTTAATTTAATCTAATCAAGTTATGAGGGCATTAAAGATTCAGAATTTTAATCTGTTCTTGAGTCAGATAGATATCGTTACATATATATTTGATATATAAAATCTAACAGGATGGAATAAAATTATGAAAGCATTTGTCCATGATATGTTGTTACTTCCTTACTATCTATTAGACATACAAAATAAGGCAAGAGAAAAAAACTCTGATATTTTATAATCTATTGAATTTCATACGTTACTGAACACAGCTCGGTATGCCATACTGTACTTAAGCAATGGGAGAATGGGTAAACAATTCAAATACAAAATTAAATTAAAAACGGTTTAAAGTTGTTATGAAAAATTTTGGATTTATTGGAGCTTAAAAAAAAATTTTATTAAAAAAATATTTTTCAAATTTTACAACCAATTTTAAATTTTTTTTTGAAATAAATTTATAAATGATATTTTTGAAATTTCACTTGTACGACTGAATTTGGATTTAGCGAAGTCTAAGAAAGTACTTTTGCTTATGTTATTTTAATGTTTGTGAAACTGGCCCACTTATTGATTAAATTTATTAGTAAAAAGTTTTAGGGCCCATTTCGCGTTCCGCGTATGATTATCGTATTCAAATGTAAATTTTCTTAAGATGCGTACGTGATAACGTCAATACATTTGTTACCGATAATATATCTTTGTTTCATTGTTTGTCCCACTGGCAGTGTCTGAGTGCAGAAAAAGTAAAATTCACTTGTCAAATCAATTAATCTCAAATTCTAAAAACGTACCACTCAAGCCAATGTACCACTGTACCACTGACCAAATTCATTTTAGGCTTTTGAAAATAAAAATCGAATGGAATAAAATTGTATAGCAACCAACTTTCATCATACAAATTCCGAGAGGAAAGTAACAACCAAACAACCAAAGTACCACAAATTAATAAAAAGCGAAAAACAATTTCAAATATGAGTGCAGCTCATTCATCATACGTTGGATGCATAACTTGCCAATGGATGCCCTTTGCCGTTTATATGGAATGATGCATAAATGGTTTTAGTTTTGGTTTGGGTTTAAGTTTTGATTTAAAAGAAAAAGGTAAATGCCAAACGACCTGGTACGGCACACTTACTCGTAAGCAAGAATTGCGCTTTACCTTTGTAATGCAAATTGCAAGAAAAATGAAGAAGAAGTACGTACGGGTATGTATAAATAAATAAATAAATTAAAAATGCCTTGGAGCATAGTTTATGCATTTAACTTACATGCTGATCCTCGTCAGAGAATGTGAAATGGCTATGCATGCATGCATACTCCGGTAATTCCTCGGTTGACGCATAATACTGTACAACGTACCAGAATCCCATCATTTTTTCCAGATCAAAATTACGTATGGCCTTCACCTGTAATTGGAATCAAAAATAAAAGTCCAAACTGATGTTAACTCTTTTTTGGTTCACATATTTAAAATTGAATAAATGTAAAAAAAGCATAAAATAAAATATTTAAAATAAACGATTAACTAAATAAATAAGGAAAGAAAGTTTAATCAAAAGGGAGAAATGATCCGCAAGCTGTAATTATTACTTTCCTGTTGTTAATTTGTCGAAAGGAGTACGTGAGAAGAATTTATGTGATCATCGATTTCAGAGTTGATAACTGTCATTTTATTGTTTTAATGAATCACTTTTTCATATCCTATCTTACCAACTATATTTCAACTCAAATCACTTGCATTCCAATTGTGATATATACAATATTAACAATAACAAAATACAAAAAAAAAAGAAAAGAAAAAAGAATCTATATTAATATATAATGTATCCTTAACCATAATAACTCGTTTAATATGAAAAGGAGTTTCAGTTTTTATTTTGTTCGTTATAATCGTGATTGAATTTGCCTACAGCATCCGCACTTGTGAAAATTTGCCACAGTTAGCGGCTTCACATCACATTACAGCACATCGTTGGCAGCATCCTTATTGCTTCTGATCAATTGTACGCTGGTAGCTCTGGTAGCTCTTTCAGCTTTGGTAGCTCTTTTAGCTTAGTTAGATGATCACCCAGTTTTCGTCCGGAGTCTAGACCACTTAGAAAGTGTGATTGATTTTGGCATATGAATGCGCCCATTTCTTTCCGTCATTGCTGATAAATGTGCAATGTCATATGTGGTGCATATTGATTAGTTTGGGTTTCATTTGATGGACAATTTTGCAATTTTGCAATTTCATTTTCGTTTTTAATTTTTTATTTTATTATTTTTATGTTTATTTTTATTAAATTTTTAATCTAAAATTTTTAGAATGCGAGCACATGAATATTATTATACACACATATACTCGTACTCGTATAAGGCCTTTGTAAACATTTCACAGTTCCGAGTATAAAAGAAAGTGTTTATTTTTGGCATTTTAAACTTGTTTTAAATTCAATATGAAAAACTCATATAAAAATGTTGTTTATTAATAATAAACTTATTAAACAATGCACTATATATTTATTTTTTTAAATAAATTAGCAAGATAAGAAGTAGTAAAAATATTTGTGATTAAAATACTGAGTAGACTACTAAGCTCTTATATATTAGTATATATAAATACTATTTTGATCTGCTAGCAGGAAGTGAATTGTGTAAATCGTACTTATAGAAAAATTTTTCCCCCTCTGTTATGAATCAGAAATAGAGATGAGAATAAACATCATGACTAGCTACAGCAATTTGACGGGATTCCGATTTGAGGTGCACATCGATTTGATAACGGACTTTAGTTAAGTCAGCTTTTTGTCGTAAATATTTTTTCTTTATTACCTATATGCCGATATAGCTAACTTTTTAAGATATCGTGGTTTAAAGTTGTAAACTTTTTACATTGATTATATTAATAAAAAAAACTATACACGCCATCTATCGCCAATTAATGTAAGTAATTTTGCATTGGTTATAAAGTCGATGTCCCAGATAGTGGTATTCTACTTGTTAGTGGTTTTTATGTAAAAATGTCTAACTTAAAGCCCAATATCTAATGAAACTAGTAATATTGATAAAAGCGTGAAAATTTAGTTATTGTTGTACTTACAAAATAGGTACCTTTATTAAAATCCGTTGCTAAATCGACGTATGCAGGAACGAAATCGTCCAAATAATTTTGTATAAAATTGTAATTCGACATTTTTAATTTCATGACCGTAAGTAGTCGAATACTATCTACTGAATGAGAAGACCTCTATATTTAAATATTATAAACTTGAATTTCGAACGCTTTGTGCAGTGCTCCTATATTGCTTTGTTTAATATAATATACAATGCTATGTTATGGACCGTGTTATGCGGAATGGTCTTGCCAATTTTACGCCCCTTTTACTCATGATGATGACTATTTCAATTCTACATAAATTTAAAAGGCAATACCTTTTGTGTGCATACCTATATTTACGTTTATAGAAAATTGCTTCGTTTCAGTGATCATAGTTGAAATCATTGACGTGACATCGACCTATCAGATGTATTAGAAATTAACGCAGGAGTTAATGCTTGATTTGACCAAGACCCTCTGTATAATATATAGTAGTCTTGTTAGATGTTTAAAAAATGAAAATAAGGTCATTTTCTATGTTCTACATTATTCATACTGGAATAATATACGGTTGATGAAAATATAATTGTCGACAATCAATGCTTCATTATAAGTTAATAGATGAAAAGGTAGAGATAGAGAGATTGAGAGAGGGAGATAGAGAAGGAGACAGAGAGGGAGACAGAGAAAGAGACAGAAAAAGAGAGAGAGAGTAATAGAAAATGATATATCTACAGTTATTCATAAAACCAAAGAGAAAGTTAGATAGATATAGATGTAGATATAGATATATAGATATGTATATGTAGATATAGTTATATATATGAATATGAATTTTGAAACTATTATATTGATAGAAGGAAGTTAACTTATTTATGTATAATATATTGTATTGGAGTCAGTTAAGTTATTACTATTATCTACGTTAATTTATTAACTGAATATATTACAATAATTTTTTTCGCTTATAGCCAAATCAGTGAATAATGAATCAACTGATATGCGTTGGGAGAATACATAAATTTATATCAATCTATATATATACTATACATATATATGTATGTAATAAACCATGATTATTTATATTCTGTACTTATGAATAAAAATAAACATTTATAATTGTTGTTGTTATTTCATATTGCTCCTATTGGATTATATTATACACATCTCATCAAATTTATTGTTAAAACGTGCGATGAATAAAGTAGTTATGTAGCCTAAATGAGTAATGGATAACTTAATGTGGTTAGATGTTAATTATTTATTTGCTTTTTGAGGCTTTCAAAAGTGGTATTATTTATCTGTAATATTACAAATATTTATATATTGTCTGAATCACTATGTTAACTGTTAATTAATTTGATGGATATATACATTTAAACCTTTACATTTGTACAAAACACAATGGAAAATTAGAAATAATTTCTATTCAACTATATCAAAAACCGATCTCTTAACTTCTTGTACCTCAATTATTATCTTTCATGTTTTGTGTGAATACCAGGTATACCCGTATTGCAAATATAGTAAGGGTATTTTTAAAAACATCTTCTTAACAAACATCATTATTAAAAACATCATTATTATATCATGTACTTTACTTATATAGGTATTATATTATATCACTTATATTTAGTGGTCATTATTTCTACAGAAATTGGGGGTTATTTAGGCGTAGTTCTGAACCATTAATCCATGTTTGGGATTCAAGTTGGTCAAAATAAACACACCCTGTTCTAAAAGTATCCCAACAAATACTTTACCATATATTTCATGATTTATCAAAAATATTTAAGTTCTTGTGTATGCGAATAATATTTGATATATGAGTATGTCTGAAATTTTATTTGAATTGATGTAGATACGGATACATTATTTACTTTAATTTTAGCTCTGATCAATTTAGAATAATATATAACATATTGTAAACGTAATAGCATATATTAGAATAAGGCTAGTTATTCAAGTTCCACAAACTTAGTGTTTTTGTTAGATGTTTCTTAGATGCTTACTTGGATGATTTTAAAAACATTTTTATAAAACATAATTTCCTTAAAGTAGTAGTCAAGTGGTTAACTTCATATATTGATAAATCGGTGAAAATGTATTATAAATTATTTAACATATTTTTCTTAACATTTTTTAATCGTTTTTATTTATTGTTTTTATTAAGATATATTTCTTTTTTTGTTTCTTTTGTTTCACAATAAAGTTGTTTTATTGACTAAGTATAAAACTCCGAGAACTGCGCTCTTTATAATTGGCCTTTATCTTAAAAATTATTTGCAATGAATTGCGTATATAGCAATTTTTCTTTTAATTTATTTTTTAATTAATTTTTTATGTATTTATTTTATATTTTGCTTATGTTCTAAATTTTCAAAAAATTTATTATATATTTATTTATTTTCTTATATATTTTTTATGTATATTTTTTGTATTTTTTATTATATATGTTAGTTGTCATCACTTTTTCAATTATTTTATCTTGTTATTGTTTCGATCAGTTACTAATGTTATATATATTATATTATATTTATTTTATATTATATTTCACAACTTTACTAATTATTTTTATGTTTTTGTACATATATATATGCGTAGTGTTTTGGTTTTAATCAGGGACTTACATTAGGGCATCTTCGTTTTAGATCGGTACGTTTTTTTGCTACGTAGCTATTGTCTCTCATCCATGGAGTTGAGAATTCACAACAAATAACTGAAAATATAAAAATTGTTACAGTCCATTTAAGACCCATAATTCTGGGTTCTTGATAAAAATTTGATTGTTGCACTCTCGCTTTTCGCTCTAAAACTATTTTGAATAAACGAAATTTTTGATGCCGAAGTACTGAGCTATTTCGCAGCTGTTCTATGTCGTAGAAAACAGAGAACTTTTAAAAATGAATTTTCGAATAGTTGCGGATAAGAAACTGAATGTTTGGCTCAATAGAACGACAAATAAAGTGAGCGCTGTCTTTCGAATACTCGCAACATCATTTTCAACATCGTCACAATAATTATATTTTTTATACATTATGTTTTTTTTTATATTTTTTTATAATTGGAATTTAATCATTGAGTAATTTTTTGAATAGCTTCCAAGTATGTGTGTTTTTTTTCAAAGTTGTAGTTGAGACTTTTTTCTGGAGGAAAGCAATTCTTCAATAAAAGAAGCGTGTATACTAGATACTTTTGCGTATGCTTATTGGATGTCGTGAGTCACGCGTTTGAATTAACAAAAATTCCGACTAAGACTCTGGCGTCTATACGTGAGGGAGAGCGTGTGGTTGGTTCCTTATCTGCATAAAGCAATGAGCTTAAGCTTTACACTTGTTGCCTTCTTGGCAGTGTTGTTAAAATTATTTATACAGGAAAAGACGTTGGGCCGGCATGGGAGAGTGGGTTATGCAGGCTTTGCGCTTCCGTTGTTGCGATTTCTTTCAATTATTATTTTTAGATATTGCAAGTGCAGGGCACATTAATTTCTATAATTTGGATGCTGTGCAATGTTGTGATCGGCTGGAATTATTTTATTTGTTTGAGTGACTTTGACATTAAGAGCTCGTCACACTCACTCGCATTTTCATTTTGAACAAATTTTCCTAATAGAAATTATTTTTCTGTTGTTGTTGTTTTCCTTTACGTGTATTTTATGTATATATACATTTTTTATTTGAAAGCAAATAATCACATCAGGATTATAAACGTTTGTGCAACAGAATAGTTTATCTCTGCTGTAAAATGAGATTTTCGTTAAGACTTGTAGTAAATGTCAGTTGTGATGATAATCTGCAATCTAGTATCTAGTGTGCGTAGATCATCATCAATCACTTGTAAAGAAAACAATAATATATAAAAATTTTTATCTTTATATTAAATATGTGATGCGTTAATTTTCTTTGCTTTTTGCTTTAAAATTAAAGTAAAATAATTTTAATTTCTTTCACTTTCTAATTGCAATTTTATTTCTTTAGGATTAAAATTTTAAAGCGACATAGATTTTCTTTTCATTTTTCTCATTTTGAATAAAGAAAATTTAATTCAATTGTGTGTAAGACTTAAATCCTATTTCAACTTTTACCAGTCTAGTTTTTTCCAAAGAAAATGTCAAAATTTTAGGGTTTATATGTAAAATACACGTACTTTCCACAACGAAAGTATCAATGTTTCCTAATTAAATGATAAAATAGCTACAAACACCATTAATATTGTTTTTTCCTTTTATCTTTAATTTACTTCTAGTAAAGAAGTGCTGTGACAGATTGAATAACGATGATGGGTTGTTATGGCCAAATAATAATAGGTAAGTAAACCTTTTTAAATTTCCCAAAAAAATCTTTTAGTAGGATGACTATTATAATAAAACTAAGTTCAACATTATTTTTCATTCTTGTCATATATCACTATATAACATCCATTTTTCTCACTATCAGTGACGTAGGCAGGATTATGGTAAAAGGGGGCTGGTATGTACTATATACAGTCAAACTTCCATAACTAGAACTTCTAAAACTCGAATTTTCTATAACTCGAACTAAATAGAGTGGAATAGGGTATAGAGACGAATTACATACAATTGCAAAAAATTCTTTAACTCGAAGTCTCCATAAGTCGAACCCTGTATTAGACAAATTTGGTTTACAGTTCAAAAACAATCACAATTTTGTAATTGTGTCGGGGAATCAAGAAAGATATACTAGAAAATATTTTTTAACGGAAAGAGGGGTAAAAATATTTTCTGACTAATTTATTTATAGTTTACTAAATTAGTTATTATTGTTGAAGGATTGTTCCAAATGGGCGAAATACACTAGAAAATATGTTTTATTGAAATTTTTTTATGTAAAAATGAGAATGATGACTGAAATCTCTAGGTCTTTAACCTTCTACTTTATTAGCATTATAATCTTTGGTGCACTAATGCTTTCGTTATCGATCTCTTCAAATTGTACGGTTTCATACTACTTTGGTTTTAATCATAATCTGGAGATCACACCCACAGATTAATCTTGTCCCTTGCCACTTGCTTAAAACTTATTCTGCATACATGAATTAGATATCTTAAATACTAAGATTTAATGTTTTTTATCAAATGTTGCTTCTCTATTTTAAGATCAAGTTCATAATCAAGTTGTTATGGTTATGGTAAGACACATCACTTAATAGCACTAAGTTATAAAGTTATATATATTTTTCAAAGTGCTGACACCAGGTTAATCTTTCAATTAAGTGAATGTTATCAGAAATAAAAACTTTTATATAGATCTCCAAATATCTATTTTTAAATGAGAGTTCAACAGACTTAACATGGATTTGACTGTTAAGCTTCAAGAAACTCTAAGCCACATTCAAACAAGATGCTTACACGCCTATCAATCGATATGGTAGGTTTTTACGCTACAGATCTCTCTTGCAATTTGTGTAACAATTGGTTCAAATCAATCCAAGTTACATCCATAGTACAGAAAACATTCATTTAAATATCACACTTGTAGTACATATAACTGTAATAAGATTTAATAATTTATTGTAGGTCCCTAATTTGCTAAGAAAGGATTCAATAAATTTATCAACATGACATGAAAAATTGTTAACATTAGTTATGATTCCAATCTTAAGAATCTACTTAGGTCTTATTATATCATATATATCTTATATATTAAGACTACTATATTATTAATATTAGATGCCTAAAATGTTGTCATTCAAAGTAGTTTTATTTACTGTAGATAGTTTTAACTTTCAAGTGTTGGCTAATTGCACTAAAAATATTAAACATAAGAAGATAAGTGCTATATAGCTATCACTAAAAACACGTAATAAAAGTATTTTAATTTTTAAAAAATATTCGGACATCTAAAGAAATAAATACGTGACCCTGACCCCTCTAGTATAGAAAAACAAGTGCTGTTGAGAATTGCAGTCATACCTATTTAAGTTAAGGTTATATTTAATCTGAAACAATAGAGAACCTCATTGGAATCATTTATATAGTTGTAGTATTAAGGTAGCATCTTTATTATTTTTTTTATTAATTACTTACATTCATCAAAAAGATAAATGGTCTTCTCAAAAATGTTCGATTTTTGCGTACGTTTAAGGATCTTACGTCTGATGTTAGTCTATTATTTGAAGACTTCACTTGTTTTATTTAGAAACCTATTGACTTGAGTTCCTTTTGTTGCAAATAAAAAAAATATATTTTCTCGTTAATAAAAAAATTATTTACGACGTTTTTTCACTACAACGAAGTTGTTTACAAATAAAAGCTGAGTTGAGTGTCAGTCGGGCTTGCGGTGCGTAAAAGTCGCCTTGGTACGAGCCAAACCTGTCGTCGTCAATTCAATGCGAAATTTATATCTATTGGATTTCTTTATTTCCATTCATTTTATTTCGCTTGGTTATGTTGCAGAATCTGTGGCATGGCATGAGGCGTACGACGTACGGCATACGGCATAAGGCATGCGTGAGCAGATCTTTCTGCCCGACTGGTCCAAATGCAATTGTAATTCTTGAAGAAAATTAAAAAAAAGTGGAAAATCGTTGCAGCGCTTCGGATTGGTGAATTGTTTTGTTTACTTTACTAAATTTTACCTTTTGCATGTGCGTAAATACTAGGCATGCAAAAGAAATGGGTTAACAGCTTTGTTTAGACATGGACGAATGTGCGCGTCTACCATTGCCAAATCAATGTCTTCACTTTTGAGTTGAATGGAGCAGCTTTTGGATTCGCGTTTGCGAACAAATTTGTATCTGTGAAAAGTATCTATGCTACAATGTTGTATTTCGATTCATTGCTTTGACGATTATTGATGGTAAAATGGCAAATGCGTAAAACAACAATTTTAACAGTGTTTTCATTTTATTTAAAATCAGTTATTTTTCAAAAACGAAATTTTGCTGTTTCGGTTGATTTGTGTATACTTCGTTTCTATTTTCTATTTTTTATATTTTTTTTTTATTTTGTTTTTTGGTATTTCAGTAAAATGTCAACGCAGATACACGTATGCGCTTACACTATTTTGAGTGAGTTCAATATCAGAAGCCGGAACTATTGATGCGTTGATGAACTTGATTTTGTCGGCATTGAATGCGTTGGTTATATCTCTGATGGTTGGTGGTAGCAACACGATGTGTAACTAACGCGCCAGGAAAGTTGCGACGTTTTTGGCAATATTTTTTTTTTTTTGCGATTAACTTTAATATATCCCGCCTGCCTGTGTTATTTTGCATTTATTTTAGCTTTTAGTTTAAGCTTCATACTGAATGCTATGCTGGACGACGCACTATGTACGATGTACATATTTCATCCGTCCGCTTGTCTCTCAGTCTCTCAGTCTGTCGGTCTTACTATTTGGTTTGTCTGGTGTTTGCTTTGGAAAATGCTGTGCAGCAAGTTTTAATATAAAGAGAAAGTGTCCATGTTGGTGTTCTCGTGGTCGTAAAGAATGAATTTTCAGGCTGTTATAATATTTCCTGTTTGCCGACGTATAAAGTTTTGAAATTTTATCAGATAAGTTGTCGATTTTTGTATGCAGTTGATTTTTACCTTTTGTTTTTAATGCGTGAAAGTAACGAAAGTGCACTCATTTTCATTATTCTGGGAGGAGAGGATTCGAAAGTCAAAATATATTTTGTTTTTTTTTTTTTAAAATGGTTTATGAGAAACATATGTGAAAAATGATGAAATGATGAAATATGTATGAAATGTTGCTTTATTATATTCAATTATATGTATATACATCAACTTCAAATATGCCAACCCAATGGAAAATAAGAAATAGCAATTCCGGCACAACGACAATAAAGAAATGCTTTACAAAAGGTTTTATATAGTTAAAACCTATTAAAATTTATTATTTGGAAATAAAATATAAAATTTTTATATATATTTTTTAATACTTGCATATGGAGTTTTGTCGACAGACGGCTAAAATGCCATAGCTGTAAACTTTATATATATAATATAATTGTTATTAATTTCAATGTAATACAACAAATTTAAAATGGAGTAAAAATTAAGCTAAAAAAAAATACTACTATATAGAGTTTTGTACACTAAAGATGGTCGATGAAGTAGAACGAAATGTCTGTAATATAAATAAGTTTATATAAAAATTAAAATACAATTAAATATTCAATATAATATTATTTAAGTATTTAAAAAAACAACATTTTTAATTTTATGTGTTAAATTTATGACCTAAGCTTAGTAACGTTTTTTTTATAGTACTATAATTTAAAGTCATTGATAATAGTTAAAAAAGTAATTAATAATTTAAACAATGATTCATGCTGGTCTATGAAATCCATTAATAGTAAAACAACATTAATAGTAATTATAGTTTGAAAAGGATAAATAAATTTGTCGAAACTTGAACTAAATTAAAAATAAATAGTCAAAAAATTTGTTAAATTAATTTAAATTAAATCCAAATCTAAATATATTTTCGTGATTATAATACTAATGATAAATTAAATGTATTTTATGCCTTCTGATATTATAGTTAGGTTAGGCCTTTTGGCTCATTGTATCGTATATGTAGGAAACACTCAGGGTTTAAAACCACGTAAAGATATTGTAGTTAAATCTTAGTTAAAAAAAACAATTTTAAAGCATTGCTCATTAAATTTAATAAAATTTATTTTTTTCTTGATGTTCTTTTTTAATATAAAATCACTTGATTTAGTTTAGATTTATGATAAACAAATATTACGTACAAATTTGCTGATATAGTTTAATATACTTAATCTTATAAATGGTTAGATTCTTGGGTGCTAGGGTCTAACTGGTTAAGTATGTAACTTGTAACTAATATTGTCAATAAATTACAATAAATTCAATGAAAATATATTAATATATATTCACAAAATCTAAAAAAAAATATTAGAAAAATTTATGTAAATAAAATTTCACTTTTTACGACCATCAAAAACGCAGATCATACATCATTATACAATTAGATACAAATGATTACAGTAAATAAATACTCGTACACACGCTAACAATATTCTATAATGTAAGTGTATGGCAGGCATTATTCATAAATATAAACTTCATATAACAACTTTGAATTACAAGTCAATTTTTGATGAAGTTGCCTCCGGCGTTGCCCTTGCCACATCTGCCAAGCTAATGTTTCTGTTTAATTTTGCAATTGACAAATTGAAACTTTCTTTTGTTATTCAGTGAGTTAGCGCGACATGATCGCAGCAGCCGCCGACAGTACTTCACCTGGTAATGTACGACTGAACAATAGTAATAAGTGTCAAAATGTTTCGTAGAATGTGGCACGCCACAAGTACCATTCTGATGTTAAAAGTGATGAGACATTATGCGCAGACGCAGCTGTCACAGTGCTGTAGTTCTGCACTGTTCCCAGATACTTCACAGGCATAGATAGTTTTATCTTAATGTAATTTTTTAATAAATTTTTTGTTAAACTTTTCTACCATATATTATAGCTCCAAATTTCATTGTGGGTACATTTTCACTTTCTTAGTAATCTCACTTTTAAAAAGTTTTTATTCTTTTTGGATAAAAAACAGTGCCTAGCAAAGTTATTTTCAGAAGGAGTTATAATTAATGGAGTTAATTACAAACAAGTTTTTTAGATAATAACAATGTTCAACGTGGATATTTTTAATAGGAGTCTTCTACAAAATTTTGACATTACAGAACATTTTTTGATATGGACTGATATAATGGATTGATATAAATTCTTTTGTGCTAAATGAATGTTAGTACTTACTGAGAAACTTTTTGCAGAATACATGTATAATACATGTACCAGTAGTTGTAGTTTTAAAAAACAATGTTATGAAGACTTAATTTACTTTATTAACTAACTATAACTATAAGATACAATTATTTTCTAGATATTTTTTTCATTATATACCATCACATACACTCTCATAAATTTTAATCAGTTGAGGAGAATTCTGCTAAAGAACTCTATCTTCATAGTCATATTTACATTTACAAGTTACATTGAGTATACAACTGGATCACGATAGCTTTCAGGCCTTTTTTCGTAATCGTCGTCCTGGTTTTTAATATCATATAATTTTGGGTACGGCAATGAGTAATATCAATAATATAGCATATTAAAAATAAATATTAATATTAAATAATATTAATTAATATTAAATAATATTAATATTAAAAATAAACTATAAAGAAATTGTGAATAGGTTGTGTATGAACAATACTGTATGTGAAGAATTATTTTATTTTTAAGACAATTTAACAATTCCCTTATTGACAAAAGAATTTGTTGTTGTTTTAGCGATTTTCATAATTATACCTTCTTGATGGGTCCCTAACAAGAGGGATAAGCGGTGCTTGATTTTATGTGGTAACGAGTGGATAAGTGGTGTAGATCCTGTTGTGTTTAGTTGTCTATGTTAATAAGTACCTCCTATACGTAAGTATAATCTTATTATTATAATTATTGATATTGTTCATAAAAAAATTTTTTCAACAAATTCAGATATTAAGAGAAATTAAGAGAAAAAAGCTGAATTATTAAGCTGAATTAAGAGAAAAAAGGGAACTAGTGAAAGAGAGAAATAGAGTGAGCGAGGGTGAGAGTGAGAGATTGAAAGAGAGGGAGATAGAAAAAAGAAGAGAGATGGATACAGAAAATGTAAAATATATTTTTGAAACATCAACTACTAAATTAGTAAAGTTATTAAAAATGTCCCATTTTATTTGAATTATATCAATGAATTGAATCCATATAAATTGTGGAGTAAACATCTTCACATCACCTATGCGAGTTAATCCTCAACTTAGTGTAAAGTTCTATACAAAATTTCCAAGTTACCCTCCTCTATTTTCTTATATATATATCTTTCGATCATTCTGTCTCAAGAGTACAATCTATTCATCTTAGCTGTGCTATTTCTCTGCTACAATTTAAATAGTTCGTTACAAGTAATACATTTCATGGTTGTTCTAATATAAATTTTTCTTATAAGAATATCACCATAATAGTTATAATACCTGTCTTTATACACAATGCTATTAATTATTGCTGCATCAGCATCTTTCATATAAGTTTTAATGGTACAGTCGTATATTTTTTTAAACACTTTTCCTTCAAAAGTATCTCATGTTATCGTGTCGTTTTTCTGAGAGGTTCAAGTACTTAATTCATATAAATTTTAATATGGTCTCAAAGGTTGGTGTTATTTATTAAGAAACGAATCGTGTCGTTTTTCTGAGAGGTTCAAGTACTTAATTCATATAAATTTTAATATGGTCTCAAAGGTTGGTGTTATTTATTAAGAAACGAAAAAACTATGAATATATCTGATCTTGTCTGGCGCCTCAATGAGTGCGCCCATGTATATTGCATCTTTGAGATATCTATACAGTACATTTATCTTATAGACTCTTCGTCTGCAATTGTACTTGTTTCTGCATCAAAACCTACTCATGCCTATTATAGTCAGTGTATTGTACATATACCCAGATATTGGCAGATGTTTTGTTGTTGTTGCTGTTGCTGTTGCTGCTGCTGATGTTGTCAATTTCTAAAATGTCAATAAAGCATCAATCAAATACAAAATCAAATAGAAAACGAATTTCATAAAAACATTAAGGCAATCTGTAGATGTTGTGGATAGTTTTGTTTTGTTTTGTCTGCATTTAAACTAAATTATGTTTGGTTAAGAGTTACGAGTATTTTGTGTGTATTTTAAAAATTGAGATTTTATGGTGTAGGTGGGCGTGCTCATTAGATATCAATGTCGCCGGGCAGCCTTCTATTTCCACTTCCAATTCCACTTGTACAATTAACATATCAATTTGACATGAATACGGCACAATCCATGTGGCCATCCAATGTGGCAAGCAGCAAATGCTGCCTTCTGTCTGCAGTGGCCACAAGAGCAGTCGACAAAAATTGACAGACTCGACATTTGATTTACACTTGTTTTGTAGTTTTTGTATCGAAAATGAGATACAGCTTAAGCAGTTTCGTTTTATAAATTTTTTTTTCTTCTAAATAGAAATGCGGTAGAAACTTTATTGTTTTATTATTGTGTAGTTTTTTCATTACTAATAGTATTTATTGTTATTGTGGTTTTTGTAGGATGGGCGCATTTAACTCTAATGTATTGTGTCTTGTGCTAAAAATGCTGGTAGTACGTATGACTGTAGGGCGTATTTGTATATGAACAGTTTCTATTTTGCTTACAGATTTCTTGTGCTAGGAATTTGGCTCATAGCTCAGTCAATCTAAGTTTCAGTCTCAATCTCAGCCGACAGAAGATTTGTATTTGTAATTGACAAATGCGCTAAAAGGCATTTGACACGCGCACCGAAGAAAGTGTTAGATATTCATACAAGAAAAATACTTGCATATCTGCAAATCTCAAACAAAAATAAATAAACATAAATATTTATATGTAAATTTCTGTAAGTTTGACTAGTGTAATGTATACATATGTATGTAAAATATTCCATACGCAAGTGAAATTTAAATAAGTGTGAAATCTTTAATTAACATAGGATGCTGGATAGGCAGTTGGCATAAGTAATTTGATGATTGTACAGGGTGTGATGGAATTCGCAGAATAGGGTTGTCAGTAACGTTTCGGTTTAGCTTTGATATTATTGAATTTTAATAGTTGAATGAACAATCTAACGATAAATTCTGTTAATATAAAAAACGATTACCAATATAATAAAATAATTATGAACTTTTAAGACATGCAGTTAAAAAGTTTTTACAACTAATTATATTACACTGGCTGGCAAAGAGAAATACGTTTATATGCTAACATATATTTGACTTCATTCATCCAGTGTAATTTTTGGCACTAACAGCGCCCTGGGCGTGATTACTATAGCGCCTTACGGCTATCCATCTACCGATAGACCAGTTAAAAAGGTATGCAACTCCTCACAGCGGCAATTGTAGTTATTATGCACTGATTAATAGGTATTATCTGATATATTTTGCAACTTAGTCGTTCTTTAGGTAGAGTAAAGAAAGGATTAAATAAGCTTTACAATTTAATTGTGATTGGAAATAAGAAGTCTAAAGAAAACTATTTTCTTACTTGAAAATAGAAATAAAATAGAAAAATAGAAAAAATAGTACAGAAAATAGCAATAGAAAATCACGCCCATGGCACGCCCATACTAGTGGTGAATACACTTCCAGGTTTTATAATGAGGTATAACAATATTAAAAATAAACTAAAGTAATAATTCACACATTATGAATAGAGTGTGCATTTATCTAAGTTAGTAACTAATTCTTAACAAAATTACCAAAATATATTATAGACAAATAAATTTATTGTTGCTTATGTAGTGTTCGAACATCTATTTGTTGGGTCCTTGACAAGAGAGATGAACAGTAAAATCCATCTTAAAATCACTTATTACAATTATTGTTGGTACTTTTCGTAGCAATTTATTATTTTGTACAAAATCAGATATTAAGAAAGATGTGAAAAAAGAGAAGAAGTAGAGATAGAAAAAAAAAGAAAAATAGGTAAATTATTGAAAATATCCCACTGTATATGAATTATATCCATGAATTGAATCTACATCAATTTCTTCACTTTACCTATGCAAACAGTTAGTTTTTAACTAAGCCCAAAGTTCTACATAAAATATCGAAGACATCACTTACTAAAGTAGGAAAGTCATTGAAAATATCACAATAAATATGAGTTATATCAATGAATTGCATCCCTATTAATTATGTAGTAAACTTCTTCACTTCACATATGTGAGCAGTTACTTCTCAACTGAGCTTAAAGTTATATAAAAAATAAAATAAACAAGAGTCAAAAAAGCATTGTCTCACAGAAAAAGAAGTAATATAAGATAAAATAAAAAAAAGAAGAAAAAATAATTAACAAAAAACAATTTGTGTAGGCGTCGTCTATATAAACATAGTCGATATTAAAGGTATAATTAAAGTCTTTTCTTTGTATATAGTATATATATCAGGTTCACTAGTCCTAAACGTGAAAAACAGATTATTTATTAAAAACAAAAAAGCTACTAATTATTTAGTGTAAAGACAGGGATAGCACAAGAAGAGTGTAAATGGTGGTGATGTCAAATCCGTATTAGTAAACAGTAGTACCAAGTCAACTAAATTGACTGAATTTAATGTACTATATTTCTATCATCAGAAGTGAATATGTAAATTGATGAAATATAATTGGTGAAACTGAAGTCTTGTTGTTTTGTATTCTTTCTATTATAAGCTGATGAAAACATTTACGCACCAATTAATTTTATCTTCAGGCAGCAAGAGACCTCACGCCGCCACTCAATAAAACCGTTTCTTTCAGCTACCGGAATGTAAATGCAGCAACCAGAAAATAAATTGATCTTATCTGCAAAACACTGTAAGAATTTGAAATAAGAAGTGTATTCACTCAGATTAAACTGATTGTAATCAATTAAATTATCTACTCATTACGTATTACGAGATCTACAAGCTACTCGAGTACATTCTTAACATTGTTAGTATGCAATTATTTGCATGCCAAGAGCAAAGCTCACAGTTGTTCTTAATTTTATGCTAATAGAAAAATCGGCTTCTTCATACACCGCTTGATTTGGTGTTGTTGATTAACTGATTTTATGTTGGCAACATGTCAGTTAACATAAACAACATCAGACAGCAACAAAATACAACTAACAATTATATTATATTAATAAAGAAATAAAAAGGCAGCACCAATACCCAATGCTAGCAACAGCAAAGGCAACGGCAACGGCAACAGATGCAGAAATAAACTGCCACTGCACATTGCCCGCTCGCGCAGTGGTGCAGTGGCGGAGTGGCGGATGTGAATGAATATCTTAAATTGATTAAATAACATATAATAAAAATGTTGCAAGCTGCACTTTACGCGTTGCAGCAACTATTTTCGACAGCAGGCGGATGGTGTTTAATCTGTGGAAGTGTAAATCTATAATGTGGCAACAACAGATCCGACAACAGCGTTGAAAGCATGAAGAAAACACATTAAAAAATAAAAGAAATAAATAAAAGAACATAAATTGCACTTGCACTTGCATTTAGAATTGTACTTGGACTTAGACTCGGACTTGGACTTGGACATGCAATTACTTTGGCAATTACTTTTGTTTGGAAAAGTATATTTTTTACAGTTATCTTTCAGTTGTTGTTACTTTATCCGCTTAACTCTCAATGGGACATATCACACACAGTCTATGACAGTCTTTGTTGTTGTTTGTTTAAAATTTTTATAGATGCAGTTAAAGTTGTTGGTATAAATGAATTGCAACTTTTTGATTAAACCCTAAATCAACTTACCTGTTCTTTCAATAGAAGCTTTAACCCAATTCGATACATTTGTTTCCGCATCATTTTAAACGGTTTGTTTCACTTTTTCTTAATTTTTTGTTGCTCTGCGTTGG